AGCTGCAGTAGCATCTCCTCTTTGAGAGTAATTTGAGCCTTCACTACGAATTATTTTAAGTAAGTAGCATCTCCTCTTTGAGAATAATTTGAGCCTTTATTATGATTGCAATTATAAGTCACAAATTAAGGCTTTGAAAGTAATTTTAATTGATGGGTTAGGTAAAAAGGTTTGGGTATTAGGTTTTATTTTTCTGATTGAAAAACATAAATATAATTATATTTATTTAGGTGGTGCCAAATTACAAATTTAATCTTAGTTAATTATAATTAATTATATATTTATATATAACAAATAAATATTTTTAAAACCAAGCAGGTGCCAAGGCACCTGCTGGCATAAGAGTGGCTACGCCACTGGTGCTAAACTTCTAATCTTGCCGTGGCTGTAGTCAATAAAGATCCACCATCATTTCATGGAGAAAAAGAGAGAGATCATTTTAATTATATTATCAAAAAAGGTAAGAGACATAGTGAAGAAAAATTGTAATACAGATGAATTAGCCATATGTACATGCATTTAGGATGAGAAGGAAATAGAGCAATTGAAAGGGGTGTCTATACATATATTTTCACTTACTAAGCACCCAAAAAAAAAAATGGCTTTACATTCATGACAAAAATGCAATCCTTGTTTTCAATTTTATTTAATGTTTGGTAATGTACACAGGAGACTGATCAGCTAAAGTACATAATTCCAGAGAAGTCTTTCACTGGAGCAGCACCTACATGTTACTGATACTATGTTTATTGACTGTGTGAGATACTTGCTTAGCATCAACCCAAAAAAGGTCCAACTGCAGGACAGACCCTAAGGGGGCGTTTGGTTCAGAATTTTTTTTTGGAATAGTAGGAAAATGAGATAGATAGAGAAATGATTGGAAAGATAGATAAAGTGAGATAGGTAGAAAAATGTAAAAAAAAGTTGTTTGGTGGGGAAAAACTTTACTGGGAAAATTAGGTAACTTTATGAAATCAACAGTGCATTAAAAGCCAGATAACCGATTTTATGAAAAATCCCACCTTCAAATTGGGTTTCTAAACAGTGCGAATATCTATGTTTCTCATAAATCCAGACAAATTGGATAGATGGATTTTTGGTAAAAAATGTTGAAACAAACATGGTGTTTCTAAAAGCCATACTTGAGAAACATAGATATCCTTTGAAAAGCTCCCAACCAAACACCATCTAAAGCATCCATGGCTTTCCTATCTTTACAAGTTGTCAAAAAGCATTTCAACTCACAAGCTCAAGTTAATAGGTGAATGTCACATTAATGATTTTATATTATATTTTTCTAACATGCCCCTCACATAATAGCCCATTGAATTTGAATGATGGATAACTCATCAGAGAAGGTCTGATACCATATAATAAACAATTTCAATCCAAAAATTTAAGTTCTTAGATGAAGGCTATATTAATAATTTTATATTATATTTCACTAACACAAGTCTACGTAGCATTCATTATCTGGGGGAAACATCTCACAAGTAGAGTTGCAATCACATTTTTGGCTTGTTTTATATCGAAATAATATAATTTGCAAACATACTCTGAAGTTTTGGCCCGTTATTTTGATGTTTGGTGCATGGTAGTTAAATCGGAAGTAGGATGAAAAATCGTAAAACATAAAATCTTAACATAAAAAAAAAATCGTGAAAAATCACAAAATCGTAAAAAATTGCAAAATCGTAAAAGAGTTTGGAATTTTGATGAATTCGTTTTGATTAAAAAAAATCATAAAATCATAAAAACGCATATTTAAATCGGAATTTTAACTAACTTGGTGGGTATCTCCAAGCTTTGTCTTCAAATGAAACAGTTTGGATCAATGTTGTTAAAATCGAGTTTCTACGTAGAAACGGAAGGGAATGGTAGAAACGTAAATCATAGAAACGACACGAAACGTAAAGTTTTTACTACTTAAGGTCAAGGTAAAATTATATATATATGCATGTAAAAAAAATATCACATAAGTCACTATTCAAAATTCAATGAATAACTTTATATTTAAAAGATACAAGTCACATAACTATATAAGATATAAGTCCAAAAACACAAAAAGAATTTAACAACTTCTATAACCAAGTTCTACAATAACAAAAGAATAAAATTTAACAACTCTTGAATGAAAATACAGCGGCCTCGCATGAGGATTCTTGTTTTCAAATAGCTAGAAAAAAGATATTGTGCATTTGATTTGAAGAAATGAAAATAGGGTTTTTTATTATTAAAAGTATAAAAATAAAACCAATCATAGGTTAAAAGTTGATCTGATTTGATTTTTTGGTTTAAGTAAAAACGTAAAAATACGTAGTTTTTATCAGTTTTTGCTAATGAGAGTTTTTACTTGCGTTTTAAGACGTAAGTTTTTTCGTTTTTACATTAATTTTTAACAACAATGGTTTGGATAGTATATCCAAATCCAACGATTATAAGAATTAATGAACTCCTTTAAATTGTAAAGTATACAGTTCTGAGTGTATCTCTTTCTAATTTTGATTGAGATTAAACTGCAGAAAAAAAAGTAGAAAGAATTTAACCAATCATTAAGCCAACATGTTTAATAAAAAACGGATCTAATTAGTTGGTTATCATTATTATTTTTTGTGCGTATTAAAAAAATATAAATTTGAGATGGTCTCGTAGACTATTATATTGAGCACAAACCCTTTATTTTCATTTTTTTGGTACAGAGCACAAACCCTTTTTAAATTTCAATTCTTTCTGTGTCGAGAATTGAGAGTGAACCGATATATCCTTTTCCCTATAAAGCTTCCTCCAAAAATGAACATATACCTTTTTTCTTAAAAGACGCAACTCCTTCATTGCACAATTCCATGCGTGTTTCACTTGGTTATTATATTAACTAATATAATTTTAATGAAATCTAAATGGGTTTTAGTTTAAGAGCAGTAGGATTTGGTCGTTTACGGATTAAAAAAAATGTACAATATTTTAACCATAAAATATATTTATTTTCAAGTAAAGTATGAATTATAAAACATATGTTCACTCTATTTATCAAAAAAAGAAATATGTTAATTCTCGAATGAATAAGAACTGCTAGTATTAAATTGAAAGCAACGTTTCGTGTTATTTGATCATAACTATTTATTGATGTTGAAATAAGAAAACAAAAAATATAAATTTTTAAATAAATAATTATGATCAAATAATGTAATTACATAACCATTTTTAAACGTAAATGATTGCCAGCTACACCTATGTATTAGTAGCAGTATGATCTAAAATCTAATTAACAATGACGAGGCTTAGAGGGACACAATCTCAATCTTTAAGGTGGTGTTTGGTTTGGAGCTTTTTAAAAGATATCTATATGTTTCTCAAGTATGGCTTTTAGAAACACCATGTTTGTTTCAACATATTTTCACCAAAATCCCATCTATGCAATTTGTATGGATTTATGAGAAACATAGAGAAACCCAATTTGAAGGTGGAATTTTTTAGAAAACCAGTTATCTCACTTTTAATGCACTGTTGATTTCATAAAGTCACCTAATTTTCTCAGTAAAGTTTTTTCCCACCAAACAACTTTTTGTTACATTTTTCTACTTATCTCACTTTCCAATCATTTCTCTGTCTATCGTATTTCTCTAGTATTTCAAAAAAATTTACTCAACCAAACGCCACCTAATAACCCGAACATTGTCTTCTCTCATTGGCTGATTCTGTATTACCAAAGGTTCTTCCTCTTTTTCCAACCTCTTTTTTTTTCCGTTGTCATAATTAACATCCTCCTCCTCCTCACGCTCCCTCCAAGCGCGTTCTTTTCATTCTCCTCAATCATCTCATCACCAATCTGCTTTCCCTCTTCCCTCGATTACATTTTATTTCATGTGCAACTGATTTATCATTAAGCACAATTTTTATTTTTTTTGTAGATTTCACAGCAATTATAAAATAGTTATTTTAAAAATTAAAAATAATTATTTTTAAATTATTTAACTTTTACTTAATATGAGTTTGTTAGTTAATTTTTTTAATGAATATTACTATAATGGAGCGGGATATACTTATCAGTTATCATAAAAAATATTCACAATCTTTGCAACCAATTTAATCACCGTTGATTTTCTGTTAATCTAACGGTTATAATTTATTAATAATTAATTAATAAGTATAACCCAATAATTTTTAATAAAATATAACTGTTAGATTAACGAAAATCAACGATGATTAAATTAGTTATAAGAGTGATTGTTAGGTCCTGAATAGACCGTATTGCTATACTAGATAGTACGCGCTCAGAGATACCATAAGAATAAGTATGTTTATTCAGGACCTAACAATGATAAACATTTTTGGAGATAAATATATCCTTTCCCTACTATAATAAAGCACTTCACTCCATCTACTTTATAAAACTCTCAAATATAATCTTAATCAAAATACTTTTTAATTGATATTCCGATACATAATGATGAAATATATTATTACATTTTTTTATTTACTTAAGATCTATTAATATATTTAATTTAATTAAGATTTTATATTTAACTAAGATTCATCCAAGATTTCATATTCGATTAACATTATGATTTATATAAGATTTATCCAATCTTTATATTACAAATACTGTGTAAGGATTTTGTATTATTTAAATTTTTGCAAATAACTATAATATTAAAATTTTCGTTTTTCGGTGTAGTATCTGAAACACAAACAAGACAAGTACTATGTGCCTACATATAACATTTTTTATATCGAAATGTTCATAAACGGCCTTAGATATAATAAGATTGCCTTTTATAGTTTTTGTACAACCCATTTTCTGTGTTTAAAAATATTCTGAAATAGACAAACAACACACACACTACAAGACACAGCTCCTCCTCGTAGCAGCGCGTGGGACAGCATCTCTCTCTCTCTCTCTCTCTCTCTCTCTCTCTCTCTCTCTCTCTCTCTCTCTCTCTCTCTCTCTCTATAGACCTGGTCGAAGCAACGTAGCCAACCCTGTCTCTCTGAAAATCAAACACAATATACAGAAAATAAGAAAAAAGGAAAAGGAAATAAAGAGAGAGACAAAGAAAAGTGAAACGGACGTTAATATCGTAGGCATCACGGCACAAATCACAATCAGCAATTGAAGGCATAATAGCTCCGATTGAGATTTGGGTGAATCATATTTTTTTTGTGTTCGTTGATGATAATGGGCGAGTTGACTCAGACCGAGGTGTACCCTCCCATAACTCAGCAAGCATGGAACGCACTGTTGAACTGGTTCGGCTTCTTCTCTCAGATAGTTTCTCAGATCATTGGAGCCTTCGCTCACTACCCTTTACTCTCTTTCTCATCTTCTGATTCCTCCTTCGACCCTTTACCCACCGTTGACCACCCCTCCTCCGCCGTCGATCACCGCCCTCTCCAAAAGCTCACGGTATGATAACTGCCCACATCTTTTATGGTTATTGGTTCCATCGTTTGTTATTGGGTATGGCTCAAAATGCCTTTTTTTTTTTTTTTTTTTAAGGAAGAAAAAATTTGTTGAGGGGTTTTGCTTTTGTGTCATACGTTAGAAATTTTTTGATGGGTTTATTATACTTTAATCGTGGCTTAGCAGGAGGAGGTTGAATTTGTAGCTCAGTGGTGTTAAACTGTTAAATTGTTAATACTTGCTAGAGGGAGAGAAAAAGGAAAATAGGATTTGAAAAGAAAAAAAAAATTCCCATGATGGTGTAGAAATAGAACAGCTTGCCTTTTTGTTTTTGTTTTTTCTTTTTTTGGAGCTATACGTGGAGTATCATTGCTTTAGGTAAAGATTACTGAGTATTTTACGTGACTGAACCGGGGGCGGGGAGCAAAGTACAATAGAAAATTTTGTATTGATTGGATGGTTTTGTTGACTTGTTCAGTTTGGAAAGTGATCAACTACTATCTTCTTAAGGTGCTTTGGAAATATCTGAATAAAAAATGATATTAACAGTAGCTTTGAACAGCTTTGTCTTGTTTGGGGTGATGCCAAACACAATTGCAGAAGCTATTCCTCTGTTGTTGGCTGCATGTAGCATTTTCCATTGCTTAAACTCACAGAATGGAGCGGATCTTGTCACGATCTATGCATTCTACCTTGAAGCTACGAATCTATCGTGTTTTGGCTTCTTATAATGAATATAATTCTGATATTTTTGTTTTGCTTCTAACAGATAATTGTGTTTTCTTAGGACTTGTTATTGGTATTATGGTGTGGCTTTTCTCATTGCATTATCGTATATATTTCACTTCTCCATCACTTATGTGTTTATCCCTACAACGAAATTACAAATAGCTGAATTTGGTATACAACATTGCCACTTGATAGAATTCAGTTAGTGGTTGACGTCAGAGGGTGTAATATCAAATTATGAAACATAGTGTTTTTACTTATTTTTGAGTGAACTTATTTTCTGAAGTCAATTTGTAAATAACAGGCTTTCATGTTAGTTTCAAATATTATGTCAGGCAGAACTCAAAAAAGAAAAGCTGTTACGAGATTACTCTTTGTATTGTTTTCTTTTGTTGCTTCATCCCTAGCCCCCCTTTTTCCCCCTGGTCTTCTATTCCAATTTAATTTGAATTTCCTGTTGTTAATGTATATTCTGATTTCAAATGTGCACTTTATAGGTTGTGCTTGACTTGGATGAAACACTGGTATGTGCATATGACACGTCAAGTTTGCCGGCTGCACTACGTACTCAAGCAATTCAGGCTGGTTTAAATTGGTTTGAGCTGGAATGTGTATCTTCTGACAAGGTGTGTTACTTGATTACTTGTATTTGATTGCTCCTCTAGTGATAGAATATTAAATCTTAACATGGGATTGTTGGGTTTTCAAGGAAGCAGAGGGAAAACCAAAAATCAATTATGTTACAGTCTTTGAACGCCCTGGGTTGAAAGAATTCTTAAGGCAACTTAGTGAATTTGCTGACCTTGTGCTGTTTACTGCCGGTCTTGAAGGTTTGCTCCAAAATACTAAGCTCCTCTTATTTATCTTTGTTTTCTGGGAATTCTTTGGTATTTTTCTGAATGATATCCATCTATAAATTCTCACAGGTTATGCTAGACCCCTTGTTGACAGAATAGACAGAGACAGTTTGTTTAGTCTACGACTTTATCGGCCCTCAACAATTAGCACGTAAGTGCTTCTTCATTTCTCATCTATGAGTCTTTATCTGTGTAATTGGTCTTTCTTTCTGGTCCTTTGTTACTTGTTTCTTTGGTACTAACATACGTCTTTCCATTCTATTCCTGTCTTCTCTATAACTTGAAGTGGAGATCATTAAATAATTTGAACACAGATAGAAACAGACATCAATACTTGGTGCAAATTTGTTGAAATTTTATAAAATCACTTGACTCTTACACTCTATGGCAAGGGACTGATGTGCATTTTTGTTCATCATTTATGTTATGATTTATTTGTTTCTTTTTACATAACTTTAAGTTAGCATGGCAATTCTTTAATAACATTTAAAAGTATATTATTGAATAATCCGAGTCCTTTCTGAAATTTTGAAAGTTATTCTGTAATCTGTGTTTAAGCTTTAAGTTCAGAGTGAAGTCTTCTGGATGAATGACAAATTTGTGTTACTAGTAAATTCTCATAAATGCTGGATGCTTGCAGAGGATACCGAGAACATGTGAAAGATCTTACCTGCATATCAAAGGATGTATGCCGCATTGTCATTGTAGACAACAATCCCTTCAGTTTTTTATTGCAACCAGACAATGGAATTCCATGCATCCCATTTTCTGCTGGGCAACCACATGACACACAGGTGCATTGATTACCTCTCATATATTCCAATCACCCATCTGATGTTTGATGATTTACTAACTGTTATTTTTTGTCTTTATTTTGCATGTTTATCAGCTTCTAGATGTCATTCTTCCACTTCTCAAGCATCTCTCTGATCAGGAAGATGTTAGACATGCGCTCCATGAAAAGTTCAACATGTCTGAATGGTTCCAAAAGCAAGGGATTCCAGTTTCCAGTTGACGTTGTAGGATTAAATTTGTTTACTATTTTAACTCTTGCTCTCTCTTTTTTTCTCGTAAAATTCTTAGTTATATTGCTGGGAAGCTTCTCATTGGACAACATAGATTTTTATGTGTATCATCAATTTATTTCTGTAGTATCCAGAGTTTTCAAATGCTACCATAATTCCGATTCTTGTTTATAGGCTTGCAATCTGTTGGAAAGTGTCTCGTAATCCCTTGTACAGTTATTTATTAATAATTATTAGCAGTTCAAACATTCATTACATTGGTGTAGTTTGTTGTAGCCATTGTTAAAGACAAACATGGAAATATTCTGTGTAAGTCAATCTAAATGATTTGCTTTGTCACTGATTTTTGTAGTCCGGGACAAATACTTATTGAGTTTAAAGTATGGTCGATGGGCTCAATTTAAAGTATGGTCGATGGGCTCAAAGAGGTTGTTAATATTGATAAAATTCAAAGCTACTGTTCTTGGATGGATTGTAGTTTGTAGTCTTTGACATTATGATAATAATTACGTAATGCCTTAAATATGCTATTGATCAGGAACATTATGCCAGGAAGTGAAACTGCAATCCTAGGCTGTTGGATTGTCATGGCTTTCTAATATAATGCTGCTCACAATAGCTTTACTTTGCAAGAATGGAAGATGGTTTTTTTTCCTCTCTGAGAAAGAAAACTCTATTTCCTTAACCTATCTCTTTAACATTCTAATCTCGAACATGGACCCGAACTTGATGCTGCGAAGTAGGTGGCTTTCAGTTTTCACTAGCCTATCAATTATCAAATTAAAGTCAACCTTGTGCACAATGTACTCAATTCGCCTTTGAATGGATGTAAATATGTAATCCATAAAAAGAACATTCTGAAAGTATATGTTTGAATAGGGTTTTATATTTCTGCTTTTCCTGTAGAACAATATTTTCTGCCACACTCGTATAAAAGTGAGTGGTCTCACTAATATTTTATCTGTATTCTTTTTACAATAGAATTCACTTACTTTTATGTGAGTGTGGCAGAAAAATTTCACTTGCAGTATAAGTACAATCATTTTTCCCTTTTGAATTTCAACTTTGAGAGTTCAAGTTCAAATTTGATTAGGATGCAGAGGTGATGCTTTTATGAAAAGTTTAAGTAGGGCCACCTTAAACTTAAATGAAGCCATTCATACAACTGTTTGTTGTAAGAGTGGTATTATTTCAACCAACACCCCTATGGAACCAAAAAGCTGAAGCTTATTGTACCAAAACAAAAAAAAACAAAAACTGAAGCTTATAAATTTAATGCAGGCATGTATTTAAGGAGAAAACAAATGACAGTTGTGGGATCCATTGGCAGAGTAAATGAAGCATAATTTAAGTTTGAGAGTTAAATGGGTGAAATAGTATTGTTCCGATTATAAATACAAGAATTATTATGTATATTACATTAATTGTTTGGGATAGCTCTGTATAGAAGCAAGCCTGGTAGCTGATTTACTGGCCTAAACAGCTAACTTAAGAAAGGATCAAAGGTATTTCTGGAGTATCCTAGGTGTGTTTGCTTCAGGAGTTTTGAAAATTTTCCTGGTGAAGTGTGATTCCAGCTTACGGATCTCATGATTTTTACCCATGAATGACAGTTGCCTAGCTTTCTTGAATTGCATGTTTAAAAATTGACAAAGCACTGTTCCTGAATGCAGCTTGGAAGATGGTATTTCTCTTAAAATCGGATAAGTTAATAATGTGGTACAAAACGGTGACAATATTACCCCTGACTTTGGATTGTAAAGTGTTATTTTTAAAAGGATAATTTTGTAATTTCAATAATTTTTTCCATCAATATTTTATTTTCAACCAAACACACGTTCAAGAATTTTACTCAATTTTTCTGGTAAAATTTTGCTTAATCAAATAACTTTTTTAAAACTTTCATATCTAACTCACTTTCTCTACAGATCTCTAGTAATTATATTTCCCTAGTAAATAAAATTTCACATGAAACGAAACACCACCTTGGAAAACAGTTCTTTGGGATAATGGGATAACCCGGAGGATGTCCTTTTTGAATAATTCCAAAATGAGATCACTTATATATACCTTCCTCTACTTCTTGTCAGTTTGTATTCAAGTGGTGCGGAATCATTCTTGGATTATGGTCTTACAAACTTCTTGGTTTGTAAACTTTGTGATAGCTCCCTTGAGATATGTAGTGGGCCTTTGCATGCCCCATAACCGGGGACTCTAGCACAACTTCTATTTCCTTTTTCTCTTCTATAAGAAAAACAAAATTTTCAAAGAACGAGACATCAACATCAACAACATATTTATTCCAAATTAATTACGATTTGTAATAGATGAACTCAAATAAAAAAAACAATTGAGAAAAAAGATAAAAACAAAATTTAAAAAATATATATTTATAACATTATCCATTAAAAATAGCGATAAGCAATTAAAAGAAAAAATAAATTAAAATAAAGTAAATATAATGATACATAAGAGGGAAAAAAGAATAAGAAATTAAAATTTAAAAAAAAAATGCATAAATAAATAAATAAGAGAAGAAAGATTGAGAGGAAAAAAAGAAATAAAAGAAAGGACAAAAAAAAAAGAAGGTAAAAAAAGAAAGAAAGGGAGATAATGGGGAAAATTATTAAAAAGGGACAGTATTGAACTTAGAAAAAAAAAATGGGTCTAGTCATCTACGATGCTAATACTTCTCCTCCAATCCGTCTTGAGACATACTGTTCGCTAATCAATATCTCACTTCATTAATTTTTGTTTTACTATCTTTCTCCAAGTAAGTTTCGGTCTACTTCTTTCTCTTTTTGTGTCAAGTTCTTGCTAACAAGGTTTTATTCTTACGGTAGCATCTAGGGATCTCCTCGTTACGTGCTCAAACCATCTCAATTTATGTTCTCTCATCTTTTCAATAATCGGTACTACTCCTACCTTTTGTTGAATATCCTCATTTCTTGTCTTATTCATCCTCATGTGTTCACACATCCATCTTAATATTTTCATTTTCCCTACTCTCATTTTTTGCTCATATTATTCATGTGACAGCTAACATTAAGCTCTATATAACATTTCAAGCCTTATTGTAAAAAATTCTCGAGAATGAGAGTCCAAGAAAAATAGAATATCTCTAGACATTTGGGAGGAGTAACTTATGTAAGTTATATGTTCAACATTTCAAATTCTAAACATTTACTAGTTGGTATTTGTTAGTCCTAAAGCCTCTTGCAATGAGATCGGTGGCAAGGCAAACTAAGCGACTTAAAGTACATGCCTTATCTGTTAAAGAATTAACCATTAATTAATGATTGGTTAGCATCCTAACATCATGTTGGGTGTTTGGGTCGTTTAAAAAGAAAAGGCAAAAGAAAAAAAAAAAAAAACTACTCATTCGGTCTTTCCAGCTTGTGCTGTCTCTACAGCTCTATACAATATCCCTCAATACCTTGACAAAAAGGGGCACTTGCTCTAGTTCTCTCTTCTCTTCTGCTTCTCTAAATATTACTTTATACCCTTTATTTATCTGAATACACTAAAGGGTTTATTAATTTCATGTTACATGAGATAGTATTTTTATGTGGGTGACACAAATATGTGAGATTCACAATCTAAAAAGAAAAAGAAGAAAAAAAATTGACACGAAATTCTATGAATGTATGACATAAAATAACTTTCTTATGCAATATGAGGGTATTATATCCCATGCACTAATTCATATGCGTTGTCAAAACGTCACTTTTTAACGTCAAAGGCTGCTTTCAATGTTAATTAGGCTGCTTCAAAGGTTGGTATATGAATATCAAATTCAGTGCTTTGGGATACCAAAGACATTGATTTCATTTTTGCTCTTTAGATTATAATTATTTGATGCATGGAAAATAAGTCCTATTATGAAAACCACCGAGTCCGCGTGGTTCGTGCATCGATTGCGGACATGATTTGCCCACAAGAATAAACAAATGCATATTTACATAACAATTATGGCATATGTTACTCTATCTGATTACAATGAAGATTTGATTGTAAAGTATGTCAACTTGTCAAGGATGTTTATCTTCCAGTAGTACTTGACAATTTATTTAGAAGCTCTTTTGCTTGTCAAGAGCACATGGTTTATATTTCATTTGCGTTCCCATTGTACTATGCTTTTGCAGCAGCTATGATTATTCTTACAACATAATGTCCTGCAGCTCTCAGCTTGCTATTTTTTGTTTAACTCTTTTGTTCTGAGTTGTGTGCATTTTCTTCCGTTTGAAAACAATAATGGATCCAAAAAAGTTGGTTCAAGTGATACATTTTTTATTCCGTTTAGGTAAAATTTTGAGTTCAAATCATTGTAAATGTAAAAAATTCTCTTTGAGAGAGTTAGTCCCACTATAATGTGAATGTTTCGACTCGAGCAAGATTGTCTCCCATAAAGAATACTTGTAGTTTATATATATAGGGAAATAATCCGTTTATAAATTTTTTTTATAAATTTTTGCAAATTACACTATGTACTACTGAAAATACATAGTGTAACCTAGTATATTTTCGGGAGTACATAGTGTAGTTTGTAAACAAAAAATTTGTAAATATAACCCTCCGTATATATATATATATATATATATAGGATCAGGATCATTTTACACCGATGTAAGATTAATAAGTCTTATACCACATCTCAACCGTTGATTTTCGTGCATCCAACGATTATGATTTAGAAAGTCATATGAATCAATTAATATTAATTACACTATAAATGACAACAGATGATTTTCGTCCATCAACGGTTGATTCATATGACTTTCTAAATCATAATCGTTGGATGCACGAAAATCAACGGTTGAGATGCAGTGTAAGACTTATTAGTCTTACATCGGTACAAAAAGATCCTGCTCATATATATATATATATATATATATATATATATATTTATATATAAAGAGAGAGAGAGAGGTAGGAGTCAAATTTGAAATTTGACATCTCACCTGAGAGCCATTAGATAAAAAAAGATCAACGACTCTGATTTGTAAGCATGTGACACCATTGATATTTTTTGATCTAATGGCTCTTATATGAGGTGTTAAATTTCAAATTTGACACTGGTGTCAAAGGATTCTACCTCATATATATATATATATATATGGCTTTAATATTTCTACGGTGAATGTAGATAAGCTATCTACATTCACTCCCAAAATGACGTCGTTTTAGGTTGAAAAATTTAAAAATTACAATACAAAAGACTGTTATAACTCTGGAGTAGATTATAATTACAAAAATACCTTGATTTCCGCCACAAAACGACGTCGTTTTAGGCTCAATGTAAATAAGTTATCTACATTGATTGTAGAAAAAATGAACCCATATATATATATATATATATATATATATATATATATATATATATATATATATATGGGTCAGGATCATTTTACACCAGTGTAAGTTACACTCTTTATCTTGTCCGTTAATCTCACTTATATCTAAGGGTTCAAATTTTTTAGTAATGTGAGTCATTGGATACAAGTGGATCAATGGTCAAGATTGAGTGTAAGACTTCTAACTCTTACACCGGTGTAAGAATATCTTGTTCCTATATATATATATATATATATTATATATATATATATATATATATATATATATATATATATATATGGTTAAACCGGAGCAATTTCACGCCATGGTAAATTCCTCAGTTTTAGCTTACCAAAATAAAATAAAATTTCAAAGCAGTTTTTTAAAAGCATTTGTGAAAGTGAAAATAAGTAACTTCACTTATTTTCTTCTATGCAATCTGTGACTTACGAAAGCAATATGAAACACCTAATATCATATATATTGTTTGGATTAAAGATATTTAAATTTTGCAAACAGATCTATGGGCAGTCAACATCATTTGTTTATAACTTGAATACCATATATATATATATATATATATATTGACATATTCATTTTTGTGTACACACATTCACGTATTCTAGAACAACTATTTGAAAGGTTAATAATGTACATTCTTCCAAATTCAAATGTGTTTATTTAAACTACACTTATTGAGCTTATATAAAAATCCATACACACGGTGGATGAATAAAATAAACTTAAATTACTATTATTTTAAAGAGGATTCAAACTAATCCAGTTGAATGTAGTGTGTACTCACAAAAATTATTCTACGATGCATAATGAAACATCTGCAGTGCATATTTTTATTTTATGCATTCCACTTCTTTAAAAAAACGGGGAAATTAGTAGAATAAGAAGTTTCAGTAAGGTTCTACTGTATTTGTTTGACCCTTATCCTCACTAAAATCTGATCCTCATAAAAACAAATTCCAAGTTCCAAGTAAACAAATGAGAAAGTACCCTTCTCACATTTTCCGTCTCTTTCTCTCGATTTCTTCTTTGTTTTCTCTTTGCAACCAAACACCCAAAAATTTATGTCGTTTAGTTTGACTATCTCATTCTGGTTCTTGGTCTTACATTTGAATTTCAAAGGAAATTAATAGAATTATACAGAATATTCAGCTACTTGGATTGAATAAACAATAGTAAATTACTAACAGCTTAAAATAAAGAACTCATTCAATTATGAGATTAATTAATGTTTGTTATATTATAGTAGATAAATTTATGAAATTAATATTTTTCATATTATAGGAGATAATTTATCTGTTACACACATAAATGTGTGGACTCATGTGAAGGAAAGAGAGAAAAAAATATGAATTTCAGATATTTTTATGTGTGTAGAAGATAAAATCTACAATATGATAAACATTAATAGCTAAATTTATTTTTATATATATATAAAAGTGTATGAGAAGAAAATAGAGAAAAAGAAAATATACTCCAACATGTGTAGAAAAGAAAAAGAAAAATGAATCCTTAAATTATTTAGTTCAGTTACCAAATTTGAAAATATATGATAGGCCCTGATTTAGCATTTAATAATCCAAATCACAAATGATTAAAAAAAAAAAAAAAAAAGCATTCGCAGCGTTTTTAGATTTATGATTATGGTCAAACCCTGATAATTAAATCCACTTCTTACGTATAGTTACGTTTTTTACACCGCGGAGGCGCGTGAGAAAACATTTATGGTACGCGTGGATGTCGGCTGTGGCGAGTACTTCGTTTGGTGAAAACGTGAAAAATTACGACATTATAATGTCCTTCTTCGAAAGTACGTTTGGTCCATTCATTGTTGGTCGGAAAGGCCCTGTTTGGTTTATGCATCGTCCAATACATAATAACTTTAGTTTCACTCAATAACAATAATAATTAAAAAAAGTTTTTTTTTCGATTATTACATTTCGTAATGAAACAGAGCTTGCATTACTTTTGTATCAAATGAACTATAATTATTTTATCCTCGGATTTTGATTTTTTTTTATCATTTGTATATAATTAACAAACAATTAACTGTTCACTTTTGTCCTTGTGATTTAAGGAAATGTTACTTTATCAACCTACAATTTCATTTTTTTAATATAAATAAATACTTTCCATAAGATATGTAAGTGCAACAATTTTCAAAAGAATAGTTTAAGAGTATTCAAAATGAGTTTTTGAATTTACGGATAAAAGAATAATGTTTTAACAACTCAATTTGTATTTTATTTTAAATTCAAACATGTGACAACCGGCTCCAAGGTATGTATTATGTATTTATGAGTTTAAAGATTTTTATGTTTAGAAAATAAAATTATCTTCTATATTTACACATAAAAGTACGTGGAGCATATGTAGGCTCGAGAAGAAGAGGAAAAAAAAAATTTCGCGTGCTTTTATGGGTTCGATTTTTCTGGAGTTACCTGCAGATATATTATCTGTAATAAGTCTAATACGGTATCGTTTTGGGAAGGAAATCATGGTATTTTTTATTTTTAATTTATTTCAGAGATATTATAGTCTTTATAATTATAATTTTCTAATCTTTCAATCTCCAAACGACATCGTTTTGTAAGTAAATACAGATAACTTATCTGCATTAACTGCAGAAATATTTTTCTGTACTTTTATACATGTGTAGGAAATGATTTACTAACAAAGTCCAGCAAACTGATCTCCCGCCTCGAAGGATTAATCTTCCGCTACCAGCAGGAGGTTATTTGAGAAACCTAAAAAAAAGAAAGAAATAATTTATCTCTTACAACACAATAAATTTTAAACTCGATATTTAAAACTTATTAATTTAAACTTTATTAATGTAAGATAACGACATTTTGTTTTCTTAATAACAGCAGACAAATTTCTTTAATACGGTTTCAATATTAATTTTGCACGTGTAATAATCGTTGAATTTTTCATAAATAATTGGAGTGTCGGTTTCGGAAGATGTATACTATTGTTTAGGGTATAGGTTGATTTTCAGGTATCTTCATGATCTAAGACTCTAAATGTTTCGTAAAAGTGAAAAGTATTTTGAGTTTTTGCTCAAAAAATTTCTACAGAAATGTCTTTAATTAATGCTCAAAATTATTTTTAATTTTTGTGTTAGGTATTGAACAAAGAAGTTCAATGTATATAAATAACAGTAAATATCTATTAATTCATAAAAATAAATGTTATTAATTTATTTATTTTAACAAAATTTATAAAATATGTTAAATGTAAAAAATGTTTACCTACCAAAAATAATGTTTCAAAAAATCATATGAATCAAATATTATAAGATTGGAGAAAACTTTGTTATCGTGTTGAACTTGATGGAATTAGTTGAATAATCGATAAATTAGTGGAATATATATATATATATATATATATATATATATATATATATATATATATATATATATTGTGCTCTAAAATTTCTGTTTCCTTTTTTCTAATAATAATTTTTTTTTTTTTATAAAATTAACTGTTATATAATTTGAACATACAGATTTCCAACAAGTATTGTATAATATTGTCACAGGGAAACATTGCATTTGTGAATATAGACATGAGTTGCAAGTCAATCCTCAACACATTTTCAGTAATCTCCACTAAAGTTTAGAAATTCTAATTGTGATTTGTGAAGGTTGATATAATTACATCATTTCAGGAATAAATTCTCTCTCACATTACAATTTTATATGATTTGGTCATGCAAAAATCTCTTCAAAAATAGTAATTGAATCTCGCTTATTTAATGACAATAACAAAAGAGCTAGATAAAAATTTTCCACATTACTAAATCATATAAAATTTTAATGGGAAATACTTTTATTATGTTGTAGGAAAATGTTTACCTCATGTTGTAGAAATAAAATTATAAGTGGAATTCACAAGTAAGAGGAGAGAGAAAAAAGAGTGGTGAGACCCAACCCTTTTTGTATGTGTAAAAAAATTGTTTATCTCATGTAAAATGAGATAAAAATAACCCAATTTTAATATGATAAGATCCCTCCCCACCATTCCCCTCCCGTGTTTCTCTCTTATTATGCTTTATGATGCATCTCACTCATTGATCTATTTTTTTTTTTTTTTTTTGGTACATACTCATGGATCTACTTTGTTTACAACAATCTTCGTACAAAATTATTTGCAAAAAACAATACTCCCCTTCCATTAATTTAATTTCTGAAAGTATGAACACATAATATATTAATCTTAACATTCAAATAATGAAAATGAAATGTGTTAATAAAATAATTAAAACATTAAAAATTTGAAATAATAAAAAATTAAATTACAAGAAACTGAAATGAAAGTGAAAGCATATTTTATAAACTAAATTCTAATAATAAGTGTACACAATAAATACACAAGGATATTTATAAGGGTTTTACTTTTCTCATGTTGTAGGAGAGAAGTTATCTCATGTTGTGAGATAAATTAAGTGGAGCCCATCAATTTAAAAAAAAAAGAAAAGAAAAGAAAAGAGATACACGTCTTTTTATGTGAGTGTAAAATGAAAGAGTAATCTTATGCAACATAAGAGTATAATTTCCCTTATTTATAAAGGGAAACCAAACACAGCCTAAGAGGCTATGCCTATAGTAGTTTTCAGAAAGGCTTTGCATTTCAGAGTCAACAACTACCACTCTGAAAATTTCCATAAGATATATACACTCTTCACTTTTTTCTCTTTCTCTCTCCTTTCTTCTTCTTCGTCTTCTTCTTTTGGCCAACTCTGCCAATGAAGCAGAAACCACCACCGCAACCTGACATCAAAATCCATTCTTTTAAATGAAGAAACCACCTTCCTCCGCCGTCAGTGTCTGTTTCGCCGCCGTTTTTATATTCTGTTTTCTACCTTCATCCCATGCTCTTGGCTCCGGCGTCACCCTGGCCATCACCGACGTCTCTGCCACCGTGTGCGGCATCGTAGCAGGTGAATCCACGCAGCGCATTGAGTGTTACCGTCGCGGGGTGATCGTTCCCATCGTCCCCAACGTTTCCTTTTCTTCCATCTCCGGTGGGAAGAACTACTTCTGTGGCATCAGGTCCGGTAACTCTAGTTTGTATTGTTGGGACACTGTCTCTTCCTTCAAAAGGAAAAGACTTTACAACAATGGTTCTGTTCCATTGGAGAATCTTGCTGTTGGGGATGCTCAAGTTTGCACGACGGTGGTAGGTGATGGAACGGTGAGGTGTTGGAGAACCAATGACACGTTTCAATTGCCATCTGGGTCTGATGAATTTGCTTCAATTTCATCTGGGTATGGCTTCTCTTGTGGAATTCTGAGGATTGGTTCTTTGGTTAAGTGTTGGGGAGATATGGATATTGCGAGTCAGATAGAGAATGAGTTTGGAAACATGTCCATGTTGAGTATTGTAGCGGGTGGTTCACATGTTTGTGGGTTGAATTCAACTGGGTTTTTGGTATGCAGAGGGAGTAACAGTTCTGGGCAAGTGAATGTTCCCCAAGGTGGGGCTTTTGAGTATGGTGGGTTAGCATTGGGAGCTGAGCATGGTTGTGCAATTAGAAGATTGAATGGTTCGGTTGTTTGTTGGGGTGGCAATGGTCAATTCTCTGTGAATGTTACAGAAGGAGTTTATTTTGAATTAATTGTTTCTGGGTCCAATTTTACTTGTGGATTGACAACAATAAATTCTTCTGTTGTTTGTTGGGGTCCTGGTTGGTCTAATGGTTCTGATTCTAGCTCAAGGTTTGAGCTTCCCTTATCTCCTATTCTTCCAGGGCCTTGTGTTCAATCTTCTTGTAGTGAGTGTGGTATATATCTTGATTCTCAATCTCTGTGCTCTGGCTCTGGTAACATTTGCAAGCCAAGGCCTTGTGGGCCTCAAGTAACACCACCGCCGTCCCTATCGCCGCCATCACCGCCGCCGCCGCCGCCGCCACTCTCTCCTCCATCATCATCTCGATCGAAGTCCTTGACCAGGGGCTTATTGGCATTTGCCATTGTTGGATCCGTGGGAGCTTTTGCTGGTATTTGCACAATAATTTATTGTTTATGGAGTGGAGTTTGTTTTGGGAAGAAGAAAGTCCATAATTCAGTGCAACCCACAATCACAAGAGGTAGTAGCAGTTCCAATGGTGGGGGTGGTTCCAATAATAGCCGATCTTCAATATCAGCTACAATTAAGCGTCAGAGTTCAAGAATAATGAGACGCCAGAGGAGTGGAACTTCATCATCGAAGCACACAGAGAGGGCTGAGGAGTTCACGCTTGCTGAGCTTGTAGCAGCCACCAACAATTTCTCATTTGAGAACAAGATTGGTGCTGGAAGCTTTGGTGTTGTGTATAGAGGTAAACTCTCTGATGGTCGTGAGGTAGCAATCAAGAGGGGTGATACAGGTTCAAAGATGAAGAAGTTTCAAGAGAAAGAGAGTGCATTTGATTCTGAATTGGCCTTCTTGTCCCGTTTACACCATAAGCACTTGGTTAGGCTAGTTGGGTTCTGTGAAGAGAAAGATGAAAGGCTCTTGGTGTATGAGTACATGATGAATGGGGCATTGTATGATCATTTGCATAACAAGAACAATGTGGAAAAGAGTAGCAGTGTCTTGAATTCATGGAAAATGAGGATCAAAATTGCTTTGGATGCTTCACGAGGAATTGAATATCTCCATAATTATGCAGTTCCATCTATAATTCACAGAGATATCAAGTCTTCCAATATCCTTCTTGACGCGACTTGGACAGCAAGAGTATCTGATTTTGGATTGTCATTGATGAGTCCAGAACCTAACCGTGATTACCAGCCAATGAAAGCAGCAGGAACAGTTGGATACATTGATCCTGAGTACTATGGTCTAAATGTTTTGACAGCAAAGAGTGATGTCTACGGTTTTGGAGTTGTATTGTTAGAACTTTTAACGGGAAAGAGAGCTATATTCAAGCATGGTGAAGATGGAGGAACTCCATTAAGTGTGGTAGACTTTGCAGTGCCAGCTATTTTGGCTGGAGAATTGGTGAAAATTTTGGACCCCAGGGTTGGAGCACCGGAACTGAATGAAAGAGAGGCAGTGGAGTTAGTGGCCTATACTGCTATGCATTGTGTGAATTTGGAAGGGAAAGATAGACCAACTATAGCTGACATTGTGGCCAATTTGGAGCGGGCTTTGCTTATATGTGAAAGTAGCTATGACAGTACAATCTCTATTGTTTCAGACTGATATATTCAAACCCTAGGAAAATGTGGAAAAAATATTGAAAGTTTTGCCCATTTCTTATTGATTTTTTTCTGATAAATTTTATGGTATATCTGTTGGTCTGTAAAGAGTAGAAGTATCATTTAACATTAAGCCGTAGTATTTGTAGATTGTAAAATTTTACAAAATTACTAACAGCCAAGCCCAATGGATCATTTACAATCTATTTTGGAAATTTAGTTTTTCACAAAATAATTTACAACCTGCAATCCTTGTATGCATTTTGACAGTTTAAAGCATCATTATGCCTGATGCATGTACAAGCACACTAGTATTTTTGTCAGTCAAAATTTGGGGTTGATGTTTGAGCATTGTATTGTACTTGTTATTGCCTTTAAATTAGAGTACCAGGGTTCAATCAGGAAGGAAATAGCAAGTAGGGGTGTTAACGGGCCGAGCTTTGGTCTTAAAAGGTTAAGTCTGTGTTTAAACGTGTCAGTCTGACAAAACCTGTTACCTGTTATGAATATAATTATCGACGTGTGACTTGGCTATTAGCAAGTGTTTTAACTATTATTAAAGCATTGTCATGTAAACATTTATATAAGGCAGGAGGAGAAGGCACTTTTCACAAACTTTCCACTTATTTGGTCTTATTCAGATTAGCGAGCTACGTAGGGGTTTGGGTTTACCAAGTCAACCCATATGATAGACGTGTGGGAAAAGGTGCAGAAGAATGTGAACTGAGTTTGGCGTTTAGAGCATGATTAAAGACTAGGCAATTGCGGTCTTCATTCTTGGTTGGTCTTTTGAGCCCCCACAAGCACCATAATTAATGATTTTCCTCATTTCATACCTTTTCAAACATGGTCCCCACTCCCCAGCACAAGTAGAGTTGTTTTAGTTTTGTCTCTCTCTTTAAAGGTCGTGTCTGACTTCCACGTTGAGCACAAGTTTGACCAAAGGCAAGGAGAATACCAAATTAAGAGGTGGATTGGCTAATGGATATTGCTTCTTTCTTACGCGGAAGGGATGGAGCAATGACCCACCCACAAGTTTTGAACTAAGAAGATTGTAAGTAGGGGTGTAAATGAGCATTGCTATCTAAAATAGGTTGTAATAGAATAGATTTAGACTTTTAAAAAAGCATGTCATGGGTTTTTTTCTACATGCTCGGTCTGTAAATTTACACGTCAATTTATATCATACTATTTGTTTTAAATATAATAAATAAAATTATTATTTTAATGATTTTAAATAATAAAGTAATATTTTTCTAATTATTGAATGCATATAGATTTAAACAAGCTAACATGCCTGGGTTTAAGCTTTTATTTTTTAAATGTAGGTTATGTCAGATTTATAATTTGGGCCTATACAAGGTTAACAGACCAAATCAGGCCTAAAGTGTTTTACATAAGCTTGACCTATTTAAGCTAAAAAAAAGACTTTTAAATACATCTAAAAAAGGACTCAAGACTTACAATTTGTACCAGTTCATGAAAAAAAAGGAATCCATGGATGAATATTTGAGATATTCCAATCGATTCATCGCTTCGCGACTAGTCTGATTCAGAAACCTCTCCCAAAGACGATACTAAAAAGAATTGAACACATATTTTTATCTCCATTTACTTAATTTTCTGATATCAATTGAACTACCATCATTTAATAATTCATGGATGAATTTCTCTCTGGCATATCACATGCAAATCTGTATATACTGAAAAGCCCGTGGGTCAATATGGGCCATTGGTCCAACGGGTTGTAAATTAATCACCTCTTCTCTCCACCTTTCCAGATATGCATCTTATAATTGAACCCCACCTCAAAATGGCCATGTACTGCAGCTCATTTTGGATGAGTAGCAATATCACTATTTTTATTTATTTTTCTAAATTCGTAAAAGGTTCGAGAACACCTCATATTCTTAAGAGGTAAGTTGTATAATTATTGCCTTAAAATTCTCTTAAAGTCAGCACAAGATATATTTCTAGAGAGAAAAGTAACAACGATTTTTATTTTTATTTTGAACAAGTAACAACAAATTTGAAAAGAATCATTCATCCGAAGGCTCAACTTACCATGTCAAGTGTAGAAAAATATTTATTTGAGCTCATTACGTAACACAAAATGTAAAATTATACTCGAAAACTTTTCAAGAATCTTAAATGACATGTCAGTTCTTCCAGTCGCCATTTCCTTATCATGAACCCAGCCAGTCAAGTTTTCCAGAAAGTTAAGACTCATTTATTTCAAGTCTATACCATATTGTTTCTGACACCTAGGACGAGTTGGTTAAATAAATTGTGCTCAATTAAAAATTTTAAGGATAGGTTGTTCAACCTATCTTTTTTTTTCCATACATATCACTCAACACGTTGTATCAGAATCTCAACTAACATTTATCATTTCTCTTTTCTTTTAAGATTCTGATTTAGCGATATTAAAAATTGATAGGCAATGTAGGCTTAAAAAAAAGATAGGTAAAATAAAATATCCCTTAAAATTATACTTGAATTCATTAAAAATAGTAAATTTCTATACTACTCTTTAATTGTTATTTTAACCGAGCTCCAAAAATGCTTTTTAATACACATAACAGCAAGTTATTGACAATTGTGTAATAACCCAAAGTATAATTTCCCAAATTTCAACTCTGCATATCTTGCAAGCTGAATTTTTGCCATATGGTTATTGTAGATGTTAACCCTCTAGCAGAAACAAGGGTACAACCCAATCAATTATTGATAATTAAAATGCTTAATGCTGCTTCATGACCAATCCACCAAAATAACGGGGTCATCATCACAACAATATCACGTATACAAGGATGTCACGTGTTGAAGTATACAACTAAATTTTTAGTAACATTGGACACATGCAAATTCATTGAAACCACACACAACAAAAAAATATAAAAATAAAGATAAATACACTTTTGAAACTCTGAGCATGTCATGTTATCTACGGAGTGATTATTTTCTTGTCTATGTAAAAAGAATGCACTACATCCTCATGGATGGGGGAAAAAAATAATGTAACTAAACTGTTAATAACTCATTTGATTCGAGAATATCTTTGTCTTCGTTCATCAACCTCGTTCATCCATTCAGAGAGCCGTAGAAGTCCCTTGTACCCATAATATGTAGCAGCAAGAAGTATGACAAAAATAAAGACAAATAGAAGAAGTTGCTTTGTTCTGGAAAAGATTTTCTGTTCAATGATTACAGTCATAGGTGGTCAGCGAAGGAAATCATAACTTAGAAATCACTCTTTTTTTATAAGAAAACTAACATACCTGTAGTTTTGATGTTTCCTTGGATTCTAGTACCCGTTCCCGCCTTTTTCGTCGCTTTGGAACTGGTTTTTCATTATCTGGCTCTTTTACCTTCAATAATTACAAGGGTATTAGACTTACATCAAAACAATTTACTACAGTTTTAGACACTACTATTGCAGAGCTTACTTAGGAAAACATGCCTCCCCAATTTAATGAAAACAACAAAACATAATAAAATTTAGAAGTCAAAGCCATTCAGCATTGGGAGTAAGGTAATCAATCAGTCAAAACTAAAAAGTGGAATCACACCCTCACATATAAAGAGAGAGAGAGAGAGAGAGAGAAGTAATTTATAATATAATGAACTCATGCCAGTAATCAGAACAATCTACCACCCAAAGTTCAACCATTTTGGCCACACCATTAAGTTGTTTCTTGAGTTGAGACAAAGTTGAGGTTCAGGCGAAATGGAGCCAAAGCATCAGACATCGCCTTCATCTTATTAAGAGTAAATGGAGCAAAGAAACCGAAAATTACTATTAATGCTGAGTTCTTTTAATTGGTAAAGAGAGAAAACATGCATCCACTCAATTTTTAACCAGTGATCCCCATGTCCGTCATTATTCCTTAACCAACTTATTGCTATGTGGAGTTTAAAGTGCTGTGTGGGACATTCCCAGCAGAAGCAACTTCTTGAACCAGACTGGATAGCCACTAACAAAAAGATTAATCCTAGTAGTAGAACACACTGGTTCTGTTAGTTCAAATTGACCCACATCATTGATCATGGACAATGTCATTGGGGTTTTTTTGGCCTCACGCCCTCACTCATCCACTTGACCTAGCCCTTGAATAATATTCCTTCCTCCCATAATTTCCAACTCTTCAGTCTTTATATATAGGATTAATTATTCTTGACAATTCAAGGTATCGTATTGGTTGAAATTTTAATTTATAGAAATTATAATGACAAAAATTTAAGAATAAAAAGTCTTGCACCCTTTATTAGTTGTTGATTTCACTTACATCTAACGGCTCTAATTTACTAGTCATATGCCATTAGATATAAGTGGAACCAATGTGTGTGTGTGAGAGAGAGAGAGAGAGAGAGATAAAATATATAATTTATAAGCATTGCAAAATTTTTCAACAGAATAATTGGTTAAAATGGTAATTGAGCAAACTACTTCTGTACACTAATAGTGTATTAAGTTCTAACTCATCTATAAACTTCAAGTTCGGAGAAAAGAGAAAATAATTTAATTCTTTCACTCCATTTTTTTGTGCTCTTAAAAGAGTGGTTGGTATTAAGATTTCAGGTGCAAAATATGAACCAGTGGAGAATAATAAAATACACACAACATTTTCCCGGGCTTCCATCTCTATATTTGTTTATGATTTGGTGTACAACTCTAACTTGGTTTTGAAATTTATAGAGATAAAGATGCCCTTTCAGGAGCTAAATCTCAAGGTGTGCAATCCAAATTCATAGTGATGATGAGAACAAATAGTGAAGCAAAGCAGATAACTTTGCATGTATGTGGAAAGCTCTGATGGAAGCGGATTACCTCTGATACTTTAGATTTACGCAATTGTAGTTCTGACTCAACAACCTGCACTTTACTCTTACAAACTGAATCGCAAGGAATAAGTCCGATTCCAAATTGATTTTTTAGTATATCCCTTGGATGGCAACCAGCACGATGATACGCTGCTTGAACATCTTGACAAAGCCACTCCTTTTTTAATGTTTGACATTTGCAACGAACAGTAACCTTGTGAAGAATTAGATCATATTTAAGAAGACAAATTGGATCAGTAATAGGTCTACTGGTTTGTTTAGCTTGCAGTAGTTAGAATAGTAATGCAAAAACTAGATATTTAGGCTCTGTTTGATTACTGTTTTTTAAAACAGTTTTTTAGTTTTCAGAACAAACAAAAAAAAAACTCGTTTGGTAAGGCCTGTTTTGTAAAAAAAGTCTTAAAAACTGTAACTATTTTTTTGTTTTTAGAATCAAATTTAGAGAACATGTCTGAGTTGTTTTTGTTTTTTGTTTTGGTTTTTAACTTTCAAAACAAAAAAATACATAGAAAACAACTGTTTCTATAATTATTCTACAAAACAGTTTTAAGAACAAAAAAACCAAAACACAATCAAACAGGCCCTTAATCTCGCAGTACCTTTTTACAGCATTTCTCAGGATTTGGACATTGTCCGGGATGACATATCTCTGGGCATAGATGTGTACAATTTGGCAACTTTCTGCAAAACCAATGTGAGCAATAAGGGCCTCATCCAACTTTATGAGAACGAGGAACGAGAAGGGAGAAAGGATCAAAAGTCTAACAGATATTTTTAACTGAATGTTGGTTTCAAATGCTAAACTAGATTTTTTTAAAAATAATTAAAACTGCTACTCTCTAAATTACCTATGACATGGTCCACCACATGAACGAGCAGTCTCTTGACCCTTTGCAGACAAGCTGTTGTAATATATGCACTCAAAAGCATGGACCATTGCGCCACAGTGACATGACCGTTTAATGAGCACCTTGCATGGGGGACAGTCTCCGGGATGGCATCGCCGAGGGCAGTGATGTGGACATACAGGCTCTCTTTCCTGGTCAATGCAGTTTACACATCAAGCAAAAAATTCAGTTCTGATTTTGGAAAGTAAAAGGGAGAGTTTCTCAACCTTACAAAGGAACACAAATGAGAAACTTCATAAAATCAGCTTAAATACAGCAATAATACATAGAGAACACATCACAACCCAAGAATGAAGATGACACAAGTACAAAAGAAAAAATACAATACAAAGGATTAACTGAATTATGGAAGATTCAACACCTTTTGGCAAGGAAGAGAACAATTTTCACAAGGCTCGCTCCTCTTTAGTTGGTTCACATAAGTCTGGTCCTCAAAGGGATGACAAGTTTTAGTACAATAATGATTTCCGCATGGTAGAGGATTACCACATAAATTTTCACAGGAGAACTGTGATTCATTAGAGCAGACCATCTGATAGGAGAGTGAAAAAAAAAAGTAACCTCATTAAAAGCATAAAAGCAGTTAATTTTGGACAAAACCATTTAAAAGAATCTTGCATGTCAATGTTCATATTCAGCTTCGATGATAAACAAAACAAACCATTCTATCTGCTCCAATGTGTTGCCCGACACATGATCTCCACACAAGTTCTGGGCAACGAGGGCATGGAGTGCCAGAAACACTTTCACTTTGTTGTATTATCTTCTTTTTCTTTGGTCTGAGAGTAAACTCTGGATTAGGAGGAGGTTTAGCACCATGACACCTTCACATAGAACAAACAGCATCAAGAAAAGATATTAACTAAAATTTGAATGTACGGTCAAATGTTGGTTCAATCATATGATACTATATTTTTATGAAACTTGTGTACAACTTTGTCAAGACTCAGGACATTAGTAGAGACAAAGGAATCTCTGTTTTTGAACTTTCCATTCATGCTTAAATGCTTGAGAGTTTGAATGTCTTAATCATTTAAAGCAATTTCTTCAAAACGATACCTATTAACATCAATCTTATATATATGGAGAGAAAATTTTCTCAAACCTTAATTTGCATGTATGGCCACATGGGAATTCTTCTGCACAAGGTAGCCGACAAGGAGGGCAGGCTCCATAATGGCATTTGTGTGGCTAGGCAAAATAAATATTTGTTAATAATATGAAAAAAAAAAAATACATTACCGGCAACTAAGCATATATTTTCTTTCAATGATTATAGACAAAGCCTAATGATAGGACCAAAGTTATCAAATGCGGATTGCGGTATGTCGCGGCCAATCCCGAAAAACACTATAGCGGGTTGCGGTTGCGGAAATAGCGGAATAGATATATGACATAAATAATGACAAAAAGAAATATTTTTTAAAGGCAGATATAGCAGAAGTGACAGAGAGAGATGCAGATAGACTAAAAAGACCCTTAAAAATTTTCTGTTACACATTTAAATTTAGGACAAAATTGACATTTTGCCTATGACAACAATATGGCAGCGATTTGGCCACAAATGTGACCGCGATGGCCGCTATTGCGTTCCGGTGCGGTTTCTTGCGGCAAGGCACCGCAACACCATACAGCGCAGCTCGCGGTACTATTGCGACGCAATTAACTACTATGGATAGGACTGTTTAACCCGAACCTGCCCCAAAATATTCTCCATTATCCCAAAAAGAAAACAATCACACAATAACAATGAAAAGAATGGATAGCTATTCAACTTAAAATCAATTTATTTATCATTGAAATAAAGGATATAAAATCATAAATGTCTGCTACTATACTAAGCTTTCATCAAATACTAAGGGCTTCAGTACAATATTCGAAATTCAGCTACAACATGCAGAATTACACACTTATGTTTATGATCGTGATCAAATAATACGTTTCATCATAAAATTTAATTTAAAACTCACATGTAAAATAATTTACCATTTGTTTAAAAAACAACTTAAATTAAAGATTTTTGTTTTATAAATTATTTTCCTCTATCATAGCTTCACCCAACTAGTTTGGGATAAAGGTGATGTTGATGTTGATAGCTTCACCCAAGTACACAACATTCCAATATATCTCTGCTTGCAAATGTGAACACCTGAAGCAAAACAAGTCAATAACCAATGATACCTTGCAGTTTAATGCATGCCGACATAAAGGAGTAATTGGACATGGTTTGGGACATTTAGGTGGCTTTTGATCCATTTCGGTACCACAAGGAACCTGCTACAAAATCCATCTATCAGCACAGATTGTTTAAGCATGGGCTAGCAAAAATTGATGAAATCCAACCATAAAGCATCAAGATCGAGAAGATTATATAAGATAAATGGACAAAAAAGAACACACACATCCACCCACGCACGTACGCGCACATACACAATATTAGAGAATGCTATGAAACACAGACAATAACAGAGAATGCTATGAAATTAGCAAGTGTCACAAGTAATATACAACGGGGAATATCACACTGACTATGGTGTACATTACATGAATTAACAACAAAGACTAGTATGAGCTTTGCCATTCATCAAAAATATTTTTCTCTGCTAGTTACAGTCTCAAAATGAAATCAGGTTTTCACTGTTGCTGCTGGGAAATGAGTGACACACGTAAAACCAAACTTTTTTTCACTAAATGTTTCAGCCGTAAGTTTTAAACTTAATAACGGATAATGTGCCTGGCATCATATGGTCATCAACTTCTACGAACTAAGCAACTAATGCTGTTATTGTACGTGATTTCACAGTTCACACAACAATTTGCATTAAAGAATGTCAAGTTTTAGGTATCAGATTATCAAATCACACAAGAAATACAATTATGAAATGGGACTTCACAATAATCACAAACATGCACAATTGAAGAAATAAAATTTTATGTAACATATGATGAGATGTAGACAGAATTAAAAATGATCAAACTCAGACCTCAAAATGTGTCGCCCCACATGCACACGAAATTGTCACCATTATTGGACAAGGAGCACAGGCACCTCTGCAAGAATAAATTTAGCTATGTGTTCAGCCTCTGTCTTACACTTCAGGCTCCACAATTTACAAATTAAAATAGTGTTTTGTCAATATAATATGCATAAGATATCAATTTGGTCCCCATGTTCTTAACTAAACTGACCAGTGAATAGCTCTACTTTTTTCAAAGAATAATAATAATAATAACAACAATGTATTCCTTCTCCATCTAGTCCATTGTGATCACATTATTGGTAGCAGATGACTCTTGTACCCAAAACAAATGACTTCAGGCCGGCCTAATATCAGACCTAAGGTAATTGGGCTGGCCCAATGTCAGCCAGAAAGCATCAGGCTGCCAGGTTTTCAGCTCGGAACTAAGATCATAACAACAAGTTTTAGTTAAGGAATGATGAAATTGATCTTTAATTGAAACATCAAAGACAGTATTTCAGCTATTCATTCATGTTGCCTAACGGACTCCAGGCAAACCTCTTGCAAATACAGAAAGGGAACATACCTATGACATGGAGAAGGGCATTTATGATTCTTACAACGAAGCTTCCTGCCACATATCTAATAGTTTTTCAAAACAAAAGAAAATTGATCAATGGCATTACAACTTACAACAAGCCCCTCGTTGAAATGAAGTAATAAGTAACAAAACATGCACACACCTCTGAGCATGGAGGGCAATCCCCATCACAGCAGCGACGTTTACACGCATGCCGACCACAGTCACGCATCCTCTGACACTTCCTTTCACATGCCAAATCTTGATAGCAAGGAACCTATTCTAAGTTCAATTAACTTAAACCAACTATCACACAACTAGAAATCAAAAAAAAAAAAAAAATTGCATCCAAAAAATTCCAAGAATTGTAACACACTTACATCTTTCTTGAGGCTCCCACAGCGACAGGACTTCCTCACAACAATCCTACAATTCTCAATACATTTCCCACGGTGGCATCGCTCATGGCACCTGTGATATCCACAGCTCAACATTTTATCACAAGTAGCTCCACAAACCTGCAAAGTAGCATCACAAGGCATTCCTTCATACACCTTATTCCCACAAGGGCAAGTTCTCTTCCCCATAAGGGGACACTCACCACACTCACCATAATGACACCCTCTCTCACAAACATGCTTCCCACAACTAAGCTTCTTCTCACACGGTTCACCACAACAGAAAACACCATCACAGCACTCTCTCTCTTCCTTCACCTTCCCGCACCTGCACCTGTACACGCCACGTGTCATGCAAGCAGGGCAAGGACCATTGTGGCAAATCTCAACGCACTTGTGAACACCGCAATCCAACAACTTGGAACAAGTTTTGTTGCAAGAGAATTCCTTGAACCCGCATCTTCTAACATCTTCAAGGGACCCACAAAAGCAACGAACTTTAACGAGTTTCGGGCAGGACGGGCAGGGCCCGGGATGGCAGAGAAGCAAACAATGGTGCCCGCAATTGTGCTTCAATGGCCTCCCACAAACTTCGCCACATGAATGTGGCAAAACCCATGGATCATCACTCGGAGGGTTCTCCGATTTCCCACAGAAGCAGAGGTACGTTTTGGGAATGTGATTCTTCGGGTATTCGACCCTGCATTTCGGGCAGTTCCAGACGGCGGCTTCGGAGGCCTTGTCGGAGGAAATGGGGAGGCGCGTGGCGGCACGCGCGGCGGCGAGATCGGAGGCTTGTCGCGCCCAGCTTTGGATGCAGATGAGGTGGAAGACGGCGAAGCAGAGGGAGGTGCAGGACCACGTGGGATCAGAGGGTTTGATGCGCTCGAGGCATATCATGCATGATAGAGCGCCGGAGGAGGTGGAGTTGAGGAACGATTGAATCTTGGAGAGGTCGGCGGCGGAGGAGGATTGGCCGGAATTATCGAAGTAGGATTTGAATATGGATTCGGAGTGGCGGAGGAGGTCGCTGGTGGAGGCGCCGCCGTCGGAATCAGAGTCGGAGTCGGAGAGTGACGGTGGCTGTTGGTGGTTCGATGAGGTCATTTTGGCAATTCGTATTTGTTTTGCGTTTCAGATTTGGTTCAGCTTTATTTGCTCATGCAAAGTTTTTATTTATTTATTTTAATTTCAAATAAATACTCAATTATTATTGTTTGGTAAACAAATACTCAAATTTAATAGTTAAAGATATTTCTCAATGTTAGAAATTAATATGAATATATGATTGACGCGGTAAGAATTAATTAACTACCAAAAAAGAATTAATTGAATCATTTGTCATTTTAATTTAGGTAAATTACAACTTATATATATATATATATATAGGAGATAGATCATTTGACTCAACATCCTAACCGTTGATTTCCGTTCATCCAAAGGTTATAATTTAGGAAGTTATATTAATTAATTAATTATTAATTATACTATTAATGACAACCGTTGATTTCCGTCCATCAACGGCTGGGATTTGGAGTAAGACTTAAAAGTCTTACTCTGGAGTCAAAAGAACCCTCCCCATATATATATATATATGAGGCCGGATCCTTTGACAACAGTGTCAAATTTTAAATTTGACATCTCACCTGAGAGCCGTCAGATCAAAAAAGATTAATGGTGTCAAAAAAGTATCTAATATTACTTTAGACAACATTGTCTAATGTTCATCGAAATGACGTCGTTTTGAAGATGAAAAATTAAAAAATTAGAATGATAAAGACTATTATAACCCTGAAATAAATTAAAATTACAAAAACACCATGATTTTCGTTCTAAAACGACGTCGTTTCAATGAACAGTAGATAAAGTTATTTAAAGTAACTTTAGAAAAAACAAAGCCGATTTACGTACAGCAACGATAGATGAATTCTCCATATTTAATGTTTTCATCCTTTGTATAGTTATGATTCTCCGCATTTAATACTTTCAAGTATATATATGACAAATATTTGATTGCTGCACGTACAACCCCCCGTGAATATATATACGCAAATGTATCACAAGTTCTTGTAATGTCATTGTATAACACTGTTGATTTGTTATAAATTTTTAAATTGATCAAGAAAATTAAGAGTCATAATAGGCATTTTTTAACCTGATTACAAATGAGGAGTAAGGATATTAAATAAAACTTCTCTAATCAATACCTCTGAAATTGATTTTTTTGAAATTTGTTTTCAAATTGACTACGGTTGGAGCCATACCTAATAACGGTAAATAATAAGAAGAGGAATTTTTCTTGATCAGTAAAAATTCCGAAATCAACACATACACAATAAGATTTAATTACATAAGAAGATATCACACATACACACATATATAATGCATAATTCAAAATCTGTGAAAACGCACTCTATAAGACAGAACCTTTGATATCCCGAACAGGATGAATCTCACACCCTTAGACGTTTGAAATAAAAAAATAAAACAAAAAAAAAATAAAAGAGCATCATCCAAAACAAGCAACATTTACAATATTACATAGCTACATACTAACATATTATGATGGCTGCACAAAATATAGAGCAGAACGACGCACACAATCAAATGAATTCAAAGCCCATGAGAAGCTTTACATTGTTGTATTTATCTCCTTTGCGGGTATAAAGTGGAACTGCTCGAATTCCACTTCTTAGTTCCCACACTGGTAAGCATGTTTGTCCACCAAAGTCATCCTTCTCAGACATGTCATACTCATGAACTTCTATGCGAAGCAAGGCCAATTCTGGAACAGCTAGTGGGAACTGGAATGCCTCATTCCAAGAAGGCAACCAATTATCCTCTTTTGTCTTAGTTTTCTTCATATCAGTATCATAAGGGACTCCAGCAATCCCCACCTGCATAAGAGTTTATCATATAGTTTTGAAAAATGATAGAAGAATTACAGGGAAGGTACAATTATGAAGTGAAAACATGGATGTTATCACTGGAACATAATGATCTAGTAGATTTTCTTAACATACTCTTGTATAGAAGTCTGGAGGTGAGAACTGATCAAAGTGCGTTTGCTTGAAATCATAATACCATCCTTCCCCCATATATACAGTCACCTAAATAAGGGTAAGAAAAGATTGACCCTTGTTAGGATCTAGACTAAGACACTTGAAAGAGGTGAATCTCTATCAATGAACTAACTAACAAATCAGAATATAAGTGAATTTAACACCATATCTTAATCCAAAATCTTAAAACAATAAGTCTATAGTCTTTCCGCTAATATGATTATCATGTAGTCCATTACTAATCGATATGAGACTTCATCACTCAAACTTGAATTCCCAACAAATAAAGCCCTCACCTTCAAAGTAGTCTTCACGGACAACTGAACTTTAGGATCAAAGACATCATTACTCAGAGTAGGCTTTAATAGAAAATCTGGTTTTTTAACATAACCGCATCCTCCATTGGCTTTGAACATTCCATGCATCAACCAGAGAGATCTCCCATACCCCTGCCATGAAACCACCCACAAACGAAAACTGATTAGTTTGTAACAACAATGTCCTGATATTGCTGAAAGGAAATGCGAATGAAATCTCACATCCTCACCACTAGGAAAGTCACAAACAATAATAACACACATCAACTAGAATAAGTACAAATTATCCTTAAAAAGTACTGCTCCAAATTTTCAAATTGGCACAGTGCTACACCTCACAGGTTTAGTATAGTATCTTGTTATTACCTGGAAGCTTGCCAAGTTCTTGTCACCCTCAAGAAAACCCCAAATAAAAAAAATAAAAAAAAGGGCAGGGGTAGGAAAAAAATAGAAACCTGCATGTTAAATGCAACCATTTGAGCTCCATGCATCCACCCAATTAATGGGTTATAATTTGTCGAGGTAATGCGAGTACCTTTTGGATACACCCTCAGTATATTCCGCTGAGTAAACCTGCCAAGAATCAGGAAATAAATACTTTTCTTTTCATTTGCACATAAATAAATCACCCTGCAATAGGTTTGGTTCAAAGCTAAATAGAATAATACAAAAGCTTTGGATCTGCTTCAGTTTTCAAAGAATGAGAAAGCCATTGGATACGCCGCCTAAAACATAATGCACTCTGAAGTTTCAGATATGACCACTAACTCTGAGAGAAAGGTGCCATTAGCATTAATAAGTATTAATTAGTCAGATACTTAAGCAGTGCACCATCAAGAGAGCCAGTAAATCATAGTCAAGGACTATCTAATATTGCATCACATATTTCTTTATATAACAGTCAAATTTTTACCACATTTGCATTACAAAAGAGATTTATAGCCAGAAGCGCGTGCAAATGAGTTCTCTCAAGGACTAACTGGAAACAGTTAACAATACCTGACAATTTCTTTTCCATGAGTTTCAGCAGCTTTTTCAAGCTGCAGCTCACTTAAACTTAGACGTCTCACTTTATCAGGATCCACTTTGAGACATTCCTCTAACCCACCTTTAGGCTTCCCAGCATGAATGGCAATCAAACGTCTGTACTCAGCTGATGCATTTTGACGTGACTTTTCTGCTTCATCAAGATCTTCCTCATCATCAAGATCATCTTCATCCCCATTTCTCTGCTAAAAATGGTAAGTCATAAAATGAATCAACCAATCTCCCTAAAAAAAAAAAGTTAAACGTAGTTGCAATTTATATACAACGTTGACATAGTATCAGACCTTGTAATCAGCTATAGTACCACCTCTCAAACTAGGGACTTCCTTCCCCCATGCTTCTTCATCACCTGAAGGCTTTCCCTTATGTGATTCCTCCTCTTTTTCCTGTACTTCTTTTGCCTCAAGGTACTCCTTAGGTGGTTTAGTTGATATAATAATCCTCTTCTTAAGTGATTTAGGAGAAGGAAATTCCTTCAAGCTTTCTGAACTAGGACAAAATAGTATGTCTCCAAATGTTTGAGTAATCATCTAAAAATTTGAACAGGATTGTCAAGTGTCAACTAAAAAAATGTAAGCATTTTGAATCCCAATAAGTAACTAACCTCGGCCACTTTGGCCTGAAGATCAGGAGTGAGGTGGTCTTCTAAGGTTATTACAACTGGATATTCTGACGCTACAAAGGCATACTCCTTAATTGACCTCAAACATTTGATGAGCGCTACAGGAGAAGTCAACGTCCTGTATTATAAAAATAGATATGCATAATAGAACTATGATTCAAAGTATCTAGGAAAAGAATTTCTAAATTTCATTGCCATTAGTAACAATATATTGGAATGATATAATTTATATATAACTTGTTCTATAACCATGATTTTCAGTTAATTTTTCATGAAACAGATTTTTTCTTTTCTTTTCCTGCTAAGAGGGCGAGCTGAAGCAATGGTAAAACTGCTTCTTTGTGATTGAAAGGTCACCTCACCCCACTCTTGTTAATCGAGATTTAATAGGGAGTGGTTGTTTTTCCTGTGCCAGATTGCAGCATTTTGTTGCAATCAGAAAATAGATGATTAAGCCATCTTCACCTCAAGGCAATGCATGCTTATAATCACGACATCAAATCAGAGTAGAGATAAGATAACTGAAATTAATAATAGCTTTCGAAAGGGATGAATTGCGCCCTTTTTTTTTAAACAAATCATGAGGGTGGATAAAAAAAACAGAAACAAGGGGAATGACTTCAATTCATGTTTAAAAGTCAGCATCATTCAACTAAGAAACATACCTTCCATGAAGAACGTCTACATTATCCTTTGATGCATTAGGCCATATATCTAATTCAATCACCCTTACACCTCTCTGCAGTGCATTGATGATGGGGACGTCACTGCAATCACTGCTAAGCTGATTCCCAGTTAGATAGGAATTATGACCAGTATATATGAAATAATGAGACAATGGTAAAGACATATCTTGGTGCACCTGGAATAGAATAAATAATATTAATTAGCCAAACACTATAATTAAAACAACAGAGTAAATATAACAATACACGATATAATATCAATAATTCAATACCTATGGAAGTTATTGATGACTTGTTAGAGGCTAAGATGGAACCCAAAAGTTTCTTATCTAAAACTTGGCCCCAAACCCTTTGTTTTTAATAGCTTGCAGCTTTAAGTCTACAATTTCCAAATTTGAATAGCCAATGAGTTCAACCAATATGCACTTAAATGATTGAAAGTATAGATTTAGCACCAAAATGAAACTTGATCACTATAAATTCAGCAGAAATTGACCTTATTAATTGTTGAAGATACCATCATACAAAAGCAAAAATAGTTAGAATATAAAAGAAGAACGGCAATCAATTTAGAAAAATCCAATCTAACAACAAAAACATCCACAATGTTAAAGTTAAACTATAAGTATAATGTAAAAAATCAATTCAACACAAAAACTTAAACTATTAAATAAAGGCCGATCAATGATTTATATATTAGACTTGAATGGTGGATAATGCACACGCCAACTTACCTGTGCTAAGAAACTCCACGAGACTTAATTATTTATTAATTAAATGAAGGGCGGTGATAATCGACCATGTAATATTGAAACAATTTAACCAAAAATCTTAAAAGTTTAAGGTATTAAGTGAAGTACTTCAACTCTTTATATACTCCTCTGACATATAGGACAAGAATGAAAGCAAATGAAAGTACAAAAAAAAAAAAAAATGTTTACCCCAAGAGAAGGTAACAGAGGAGGGTTATTGTCACTGAATAGGTACTTGAAGAAACTCTCGAGGTTGAGTCCCCTTCGGTGAAAGATACTCAAATGCTTTTGGCCATCGATGATGGCCTGTGCTTCTTCCTCCGTTGTCTTCTCTTGTCTCTGCACCTCAACCATGAAACTACGCAGGTGAGAAGCTGTCATGACTCCGTGCTCATCAGAGTATCGCCTGAAAAGGGCCCTTATCTCCGGTGGCACCTCCGACACGGCCAGTTTGAACCGCCGCTGGCAGCAGAAGCAAACCTTGTAAGTCTGTTTCGACATGCCTATGTTTCACGAACACACAAACACACACACTCTCTCTTTCCCAATTCTAACGAGATAAACAAACTTGGTGAGCGCGTGCAGGGCGTGTACGTGTGAATTCTGTGTGTTGTGGATAATAATAACCTTGTGATCCGAGATACGTTTTTTTTTTTTTTATGGAAATGAAGAAGAGAGAGAAAGAAAGAGAGCACCAGAAAATCCCGAACATGTCTCGGTGTCGCATGTGAGGGACCCACTTGTGGGTCCCATAATGCAACGTTCAGCCAATCAGACGTTGGACACTTGGCACTTAGTGTAGAAATCTATAAAGGCTCGGCTTTGGAACTTTATATGACTCTGTTTGTATCGGGTTTGGATCGGAGTTGTATTGTTTAACATAATCATCACGTGTCTATGTATTAAAAATATATATAATCATGTAAAAGAATTATATTTATAGGAATATATAATTATAAAAGATGAAAGAGTATAAATTTATATCTTTTAAAAGAATGGACATTAAACTCGGAACAATGACCAAAGTGTCACTATTGGTCAAAAAAATTATTAGACTGTCACGCTAACAGTAAACTTTGTCAAAATACCACGTGACATATTTCGCTACACTGTGTAGCGAAATATGTGTGTAAATAATTCGCTACACAGTATAGCGAAATATGTCACGTCAGACTGCTCAGAACCAAAAATGCCATGTGTCAAAATTGAAGAAATTCGCTACATAGAATAGCGAATTTCTACAATTTTGACACGTGACATTTTTGGTTCTGACGTGGCATATTTCGCTACTCTGTGTAGTGAAATATGTGTGCCACGTGGCATTTTGACAAAATTTACTGTTGACGTGACAGTTTGATAATTTTTTTGACCAACAGTGATAAAATGATCACTGTCCCATTAAAGTCTTTATCCTTATATAATTATCATTCTATCACATTATCATTTTAAATAATATATGAGATATCCATTTCCTTGAATTATACTCCATGCAATGGAACAAACTTTAGTGGCTCCACATATTCTTAACGTGCAGTTAATATGATTGGTGATCTACTTTACACGTGGTGACAGCAAACAATAGAATGAATGAAGCAGATAAGTGGAGCCTCTCCATCAATACCAGTTAATACTTAATAGCCTAGTGGCAGTCTGGCAGATGACCTCATATCAATTTGTATCTTTGCATATGCAGCTTAACTGAATTTGGAGTATTTTTTTAATATATAAAAGTGTTATAGTAACTGAGATTAAGTATAATATTTAATTCATTATAAGTGTGAAGTATTTTATTTAATTTAAAGATAATGTTTTCCACACCAAAAAAAAAAAAAAAAGGATAATGTTTGGACCTTATTTTTTTGGCATTAATACTGGTACTGTACCAATCTTTAGGGTTACTACAAGCAAGGCAGAAGTACAATTCGAAAGAGTGACACAGACAAACGTTCGAATTGTAATGTGAAATCTCCTCTGCGGAAGTGATATTTTACCACATTGTGTGGCTCCCACCAACCTAGATTCATGCATCAGTTTCTTCATTTAGAGGGTATGGCATCACATTCGAACCTATATTATGACTTTCTGGTCTCAGGTCTTGTATCATTATACACCCTAAAACCTGTTTGCTATCAGTGTAAAACCTAAAAGGCCCTGGTACAATATTGGAAGTTCTTAATACTGTTTGTATTGATTTTGATGGTGCAGAGAAGATAACATAATCAAGTCCACAATACTATTTCAAGCAGCTAATGATAAATATATTATCATTACAATGACCTTCCAGATGCACCTAGTAAGAAGGATAAACAATTAAGAATATATATATATATATATATATATATATATATATAGGAATAGGATATTCTATACCAAATCTTGATAATTGATTTGCTTGCATCTAACGGCTCAAATATTTGATAAATTAGAACCATTATATATGAATAGGATTAAAGATCAAGAGTGTAACTTATGACTGATGTAAAATGATCCTTACCCATATATATTCATGGCTGATCCCTATAATTCATCTAAACTGAAACCGCATTAGAAGCTTCACAGATTTTAATTTTTCGCCCTTTTCATCATACAGAGGAACTGATCGAAACCCAGATTTCAGCTCTGAGACTGGCAAACAAGTCTGGCCACAAAAGTCATCCTTTCCATGCTTATCATCATCTCGAACTTCTATACGAAGCAAAGCCAGCTCCGGAACAGCCAAAGGGAATTCAAACTCTTCATCCCAGACGGGAAACCAATTATTTGAAATTACCCTTGTTTTCTTCTTGCCTATATCACCAGGAACTCCAACAATACCAACCTGTTACATATATTGATCAAAAGCTTAGGATAAGTATAAATGTGTATAATAACTTTTTGTATCTCTTTTACAGAATTCTAGCCATGATAACAAAAATTTTGTAAAATCTCAAACTATATATAGCCTGATCAAAAGTATATAAAATCACCCTCGTAGAGTGTGAAATGCACTAATAGCCTTATGAGGGGAAGGGTTAAAAACAGTTAAAGGATTTTTTAATATTAATAAGTATTATCAATAATATTGAGGCATATAAACTAAGCTTATCTTCAAATCCAAATGCAAAACAATCTCTTGAGACCAAACAAATGTTCAACTATGTCCATTGGGAAATTAATGTTCCTAATCTTCAAATACTAACATAATTATCCAACTCACCTTTGCATAAAAGTCTGGTGGTGAGTACGTATCAAAGTCTGTTTGGCTGAAATCTGTGCTCCAACCGTTCCCCATATAGACTTTTACCTAAAGGGCAGACAGAGTAGTTCAGAAAGATGTCACCAAAGTAATTGATTTCCCTTTCAAAATAATATCTCACCGTTAATATCTTCTTCACTGGCAATGTTCTTTTAGGATCAAAAACCTCATTATGTGAACCTTTTTGAATTAGAAACTCAGGCTTTTTCACATAACCACACCCTCCATTTGCTCTAAACATCCCTTCCATGAACCAGAGCGATTTTCCATACCCCTGATATTGGAAACCGCACATTAGAAGGTCAGGATTACCGTTGAAGATGGAGTGATTTGTGAATGAATTTTACACGACTGTCTGTTGAATTGCCTTAGCTCACTCACTATCACATAATTATCAAAGGATGCACTAAAAATTTAAAACTTGAAAGCAGGATCTCACGGTAAGATATGATTATCATTTATCAACAGAAAACTGTCCGATGAAATTCTTCATAGGGAACATACATGATGAAGAAAATCAAAATAGCATTAGCAGTGATTGTTACTGTACTAGTAGAAGTAATCATATGCAATAAAGAAATAAATACAACTTAAATACTATTTCAATAGGCATGTAAAATTGCTTCACGTCAAAGAATTATGCAAAGATGTGACATTGGTTCATTAGTTTCCTACTTAAAAGTTCACATAAACAAAGAGATAAAATACTACCACCGGAACACATTAAGTAGAGTGCATCAAGACTTCAAATAAAAAATAAAAATAAAAAATCCGTCTAAGATAACCCTTTTCTTTGAAAACAGCCATGGTCATAAGTCCCAAACCTGCATGTTCAATGCCACCATCTGGGCTCCGTACGTCCACCCTATGTGTGGCTTGTAGTTTGAGGAGTTGAGGCGTGTTCCCTTTGGATACACTCTCAGAATATTCTTTTGCGTAAACCTAGAAAGGGACATAAAACTTAAAAGCATGTCTTACAGTTGGAAGGTTATAAACTATTGAAGTACTGCAAATCTTTGCATTTATCATTGGCAAGTTTAACTGTTAGAAAACTACCTAACAATATCATCTCCATAAGAGTCAGAAGCCTTTTCAAGTGCCTGTTCGCTCAAGCTTAAGCGCCTAACATCACCAACAACTTTTAATTCATCCTGTACATCACCCTTCGGTTTCCCAGCATGGATTGTTATCAAGCGTTTGTACTCAGGTGCACTCTGCTGGTGTGATTTTTCATTATGCACATTCAAATCAAATGTAAAATATAAAATGTAAATCAAATGCCACTTGAGCATAGCTCATGTAGTTGGGATTTAGGTAAATGGTCAGAGGTTCAAGTCATGATAACAACTCACTGAATCAACATCAATATCACCTTTATCCCAAACTAGTTGGGGTCGTTAGCAGGTGAATCCAAATGAAAAGTATGAAAAAGATTGAGCTAAAAAAAGAAAAACAGCTATCTATATGAGATGAATAACTCACTGAATGTAAGGGGAAAAAAATGTACATCAATTTTCATCTCTATACTCACCCTGTCATCAGTTTCCAGTTCATTAGTAAGGTCTGGCGTTGTTGATCCTTCGTCATCCAATTCCTTTTCATTGTCCTTAGATTCAAGATATTCTTTTGGTGGTTTGGTCGATATTAGAATTCGACCTTTCAGTGATTCTGGTGTGGGGAATTCTGTCAGAGAATCTGTCTGAGGATAATATAGCAATTCTCCAAATATTTGAGTTGCCATCTGCATATAAGAAGATGGAAATTAACATTCTCCTAACAAAATTGGGAATTGAAGAAGATCCTTGAGGAGATAAATAAAAAGGAGACCTACCTCTGCAAGTTTAGCTTGAAGATCTGGAGTAAGGTGATCTTCTAAAGTTATAATGACTGGGTAGTGAGATTGGACAAAAGCATACTCTTTTATGGACTTCAAACATTGGATGAGTGAGACAGGAGAGGTAAGAGTCCTGCAAGAATTCAGGAAAATGTGCATATGTAAGTGGTTTTATAAAGCTGCACGATAAATCTCACAAAACTACAAGATCAAAAGATATGAAAAGGAAAATGATCCAATTTTACAAGATTGAACTGAGGATCAGCCAGTACCTTCCATGAACTACAACGATATCATCTTTAGTTGAATTTGGCCATAAATCTAGTTCAATTACTCGCACACCTCGTTGCAAAGCCTTTATAATTGGCACATCACTAGAGTCACTGCTCAGTTGATTCCCAGTCAGATAGGAATTATGCCCAGTATATATAAAATAATGTGACAATGGAGCATTCATATCATGATGTACCTGGAATAAGACATCATTTGTATTGTCAAGGAGAGACTAAAACCATTGTTCGTTTGCAGTCATTTGGAAAATATGCATCAAAATCACGCCCATTAAGAAAGGGGCGACAACATCTACATGCAAAAGAATAAGAAACTACTAAATTCACCAAAATAAATACATAAGACAGCACTAATCATAAACTTGATAATGTCTTTTACGAATTCCATTCTTTTATATATTTTTCTTTTCTTGTTGGCTCTCTAACACTGTAAAATTGGCTTTAACAAAGATAAGGGTATTGAAGATTTAATTTCAAACACTAGTATAAGTGTATAACTATTGATACTTCAAAAATTATTGTTACATTCACAAACTAAACACTAATTCCAGAAGTTTGATCTAAATTAGGAGGGATTCTTGCAGCAGATGATTATTTAATAAGGATTGCGTTAGTGCACAGTGTATACAAGAATTTCTCCCAAATTGGTCCTCATTCTTTCTGAGTAATTCGCTGGATTTAATAAATAGGGTATGAGCCAGACCAGAACACCGCGCATGCAAACTTATTTCCTTAAGGAAATCACCTCTTCAGGTTGCTATTGATTTTTCTATCTATTCCTTATTCGAATTCCCCCTTCTGTTATTACAAAAAAAAAAAAAAGAATTCCCCCTTCTGCCTTTTAGTTGGGGGTCTTGGCGTTATATTCATAACTCATGACACATTATAAAGTTGCCCTACACAATATACATGCAAAATAAAAGATACACAATATGCATGCATAATGAAAGGTAAGGCTTTTTTTTATCTCTAAAGTAAATAATTAAGAATGTATATATCATTGATTCAATTTAAAGTGTATCATGATTTCAACTCACTAAAACTCAAAGATAAATAAATCCTTATTTGTTCTTTTTTTAAAATTTCTTAAAATATCCTTTCACTAAATATAAAAGAGACTAACTCACGGGGTAGCTCAATTGGCAACAAGACATTGCTCAGGTTCGATCCTTGGGTAATGCAAATCCTTGGAATCCTTTGGCATGAGGAGCTAGCCTACCTCCTAGTTAACTACTAAAAAAAATGAGACTAATCTTCCAAAAATACAATATTACAAGAGTTTTTCCCTGTGATTCAGTGTGAGTTCTTATTGTAAATTTTTCACAATTTAAAAAAAAAAAAAAAAAAACATCTTATTTAAGAATTCTTGTGAAATATAACTTTTATCTGGATTTATTAGCCGATAAGTGCAAAGAAAGATATAGACAAAACCATGGGGCCCCATCATCAATATCACTAATATATATTTCCGTATTTGAAATGTGAATTTCACCACTGATAGTGATAACGGGGTCAAGCAATAAAGCAAATGACCCTAAAGTAAAAGCTAGGAAGCTAAACTCACTTCATGGTTGTAAAGATGGGGTCCAGTTTCTCATCTTTTAATATTTTCACTCTCTTTGTCTTTATTAAACTAAGAACTTTCGTGTGAAACCATTTGCATCAAACATGGGTGGTTTAGATGCATGTGTTCGATCCTCTTCAGTTTTGTTTTTGAAGAGTTTAAAATTTTAATGTCGAAATCTGGCTCGAATGAGACTAGTCACCAATTATGAACAGATTGGAATATTAAGAAAAAAAAAAAAACATGGTGGTTCAGTTATGCACCAACCACTCAACTCAAACAATATCATCCAACCAACTTGCTTCACCTTCCAGTCAAAAAAAAAAAAAAAAATTTGCTTTACCTAACCCCTGTAGTGTTTTTATCAGCAACGACTCAATAAAAACACATCAAATTTTCTGAGATCCTAAGAGGGCGTTTGGTACAGGAGAAATTTTTATTTGTCCGAGAATCTCAATTTTCAAAAATATGATTTTTATATTCAGTTTACCGTAATATCCGAAAATTTAAAATTAAAAAAAATTCAGTTTTCGGGAATCCAAATGCCGACGCCCCCTAAAGAAAATAATTTTTTTAAAAAAAAGAAACTTTTTACGAGAATTTACCTGGGATTTCAAGGGGTGATTGAAATCATCGAGGAACAAGAAACGGAAGAACTCGTCGAGGGTGAGTCCAGGGGAATCGGCGGTGACAGTGCTACTTTTCTGATCCTGATCGTGTTTGCGCCATTGTTTGAGGATCCGGTCGGAATCCGATGGGGTGCAGTCCATTTCGGCCTGGTGCTCCGTCAGGAAGCGGCGGAGGTGATCGGAGGACATGGAGGAGGCGCCGGCGGTGAAGTCGGAAAAGGCTTGTTTGACGTCGGACGGTGGGCCCGGTTCAGTGATGGTGAACTTCCTGTTGAAGCAGTTGAAGATTTTGTAGCTGTCGGTGGCCATGATGAAGGTGAAGCTCACAGTGAGTGAGTGACTGAGTGAGTGAGAGAAACAGAGAGATATTGCTATGAAACTTTGATGAATTGAATGGTCGTTTTTTCAGAGAAAAGAAAGAAGAGAAGAGAACAGAGTGCGTTTGAAGCGGGATGGTTAACGTGACTTCATCAAATCAAAAGTGCTATGGGACCCAACTCAACTAAATTATTATAAGAAAATTTAATTGCTTCGTCAATATAACCCCTTTTTATTTTTTTGAACTTTATTTATTCTATGGAATGAAAAAAAAAAATTATGTATTGAAACATAACGACAGATTATATTTACAAATTTTTTTGTTTACAAATTTTTACAAACTACGCTAAGTATGACCGGTCATACTTTAATTATGCAATATACGACCGGTCGTACTTAGTATAATTTGTAAAAAAAAATTGTAAACGGATCTTATCCCTTAAACTTATTGTTGTTTATTATCATAATCCTCTTCAATAAACCTCATCATTACTTAATTAACGAAGAAGAATAAAACTACCTTGTGAAATACGAGATGTAATGTCATTTTTATACAACTGTTTTTTTTTTATTATTATAAAATTTGCTTAATCATAAATAGTCTTATGATTATACATGAAATTAAAAATATATTATAATTGATAAATATTGAAATGTATATCCCACAATATAAATGGTTATAATATCAATCTATCATATGAGATTTGTTTCATGATAACAAACATCATTTTCAAATATTGGTTCAGGTGGAGCTTGAATGCTTTTCTACTAGCCAGATATTAATTTCAATTTAGATGTATGTGATGTTCTTATATTGGATATATTTAACTCTTCCAGTTAGACATGTTTGCAGGGCTAGGGCAGGTATTTTTGTGAAATTAATTTTTCGAGAACAATTAAAATAAACGAGAAAATACGTGGATCAATTGGTAAGGAATTGTTCTAACTTAACCAACTGAAAACGTAGTTGTATTAAAGCTTGGTTCGGAGAACTTTGCCTTCATGTGGTTCTACCAGACTTGAATTAGACTAATCAAGTAATCGATGAACTAATAGACAAAGGGTTAAATAAATTAGCAACATGCATTTATCCATTGATTGACTATGACAATTACAAACAGCAATCATGTACTACAAAACTATGTGATATTGAAGGTTACCTCCAAATTCTATAGCATTGTCTCAAGCTACTAAAGATGAAGAAGGTTCTTTTCAAGCATGATAATCTAGAAGACCATATAATTAGACAAATGATATCTAGAATTCATCTAGAGTTTCAAGCTGAAACCGTACTAAAAGCTTCACAGATTTAAACTTCTTTCCTTTTGTGTCATGCAAAGGGACTGACCGAAATCCATGTCTTAGCTCTGATACTGGCAAACATGTTTGTCCTGCAAAGTCATCCTTTCCCTTATCTTTGTCCTTTACCTCTATTCGGAGCAAAGCAAGCTCTGGAACAGTCAAGGGGAATTCAAACTCTTCATCCCAAACAGGAAACCAATTATCCATCTGTACACTTGTTTTCTTCTTGACAGAATCAGCTGGCACTCCAACAATACAGACCTGATAGAAATTTTTATCAAACAGTAAGATAAATGCACCACAGTTTATATAGTGGATTCAACTATAATAATGAACATTGTTATAAATATAATGGAGAAGGAAACCAAGGGATCAAAGGACTAAGTTGTAGGTAAACAATATTCATGATCAATATTCAATAATGGAAACTTTTAGCATCAAATTTAATGGTAAAAGATCACTTATGGTATGAGGAACATGTCCACCCAGTGGCGTAGCCACATTGGAACCAACAAGTGACTTGGCATTGGCTGGTTTCCAAAATCAGAAGCTTTTTTTGATCTTCGGTGACTGTAAATAGTTTGCTTCCTTAATAGCTGCTGGTTTTGACACTAACTTCCTCCATGGTTAGCTAATTTTTGGTATTAGCTTCCCAATTTTTCTGGCTCTGCCACTGTGTCCACCTAAGTCTGCTAAGAAATTACTCCAAATCTATCAAATAAATGTATTGAGAATTACAAAACTGACCTTTGTGTAAAAGTCAGGAGGAGAGAATAGATCAAAGTGTGTTGCACTGAAATCTGACTTCCAGCCATCTCCTTTGTATACTTTTATCTATTGTTGAACATGAAAAGTATTCTGATGTCATGAAATGAAACTACTTAATTTCCTTTTAGTAAAGCGAGTAAGGGTATGCTATGCTCTCACCTTCAATATCTGCTTCACTGACAATGTTCCTTTAGGATCAAACTGCTCTTCATGTGGAAGGTTTTGCATCATAAATTCAGGCTTTTTTACATAACCACACCCTCCATTTGCTCTGAACATCCCCTGCATAAACCGAAGTGATTTGCCATGCCCCTGTCATAAGAAAACAGATGTTAATGAATGAAAGGTTTATATTCCTACTATCTAGTATAAAAATTTCCTCGAGACATTTTAGATAATAATCATATGACTCAGCAATACTTCAACATGCATTTGAGATTGCACCACAATATATAAAAGCTGAAAGATGTAACATATGTTTCTTAAGGTTGCCCACTATCCATGCAAATTTATCAAAACACAGTCAAGTATTTCTTTTTTCTAAAGCATTTTGCTTTATGGATTGGTCATAACTTTCCAACCTGCATATTGAATGCCACCATCTGAGCTCCATACATCCACCCTAAATGTGGCCTAAAGTTTGAGGATTGGACACGTTCTCCTTTAGGATAAACTCTCAAGATATTTTTCTGTGTGAACCTGGAAAGCATAACAATGAGTATCAAGTCACATGGTAGGTTTCATTCAGTGATTCATTGGTGTTGTCAGCTATACAAATGATGATCATCTCTACAGATATACTGTTAACTTTCAAGAAAGTTTGATAGGTACCTTATAAGGTCGGCTCCATGAGATTCAGAAGCACTTTTGAGTTTCTTCTCACTCAAACTTAGCCTTCTAACTTTACTATCAATTTTCAGTCGATCCTTCATTGAACCTTCTGATTTCCCACCATAGATTGTAATCAATTCTTTGTATCGACGTGAACCTAGCTGGTTTGGTTTGTTATCACATGTATTTATATCTTCCTCATCTTCATCACTTTCATTCTGCTATCCATTAAAATAGAAAACGTAAAATGCACAGAACTAATAATTCAAATCTCTTTTCTTTTTTCTTTTGGCTTGATTGTAATCCATTTTTAAAATAAATAAATAAATCATATGATGAATATATGTTTCTCTCACCCTCTCCTCATTTTTCAGTTTAGCCATAGAATCTGACAATGCTTGTCCCCATGATTCTTCTTCAGACGAATCACTTCCATTGGGCTCATGATTGCTGGAACTATCAGATTCCTGATATTCCTTTGGTGGTTTGGTTGATATAACTACCCGATTTTTCAATGATTCTGGTGAAGGAAATTCTGTCAAACAATCTGTCTCAGGATAATAAAGCATTTCTCCAAATATTTGAGTTGCCATCTGCATGAATAGAAAGAAAAAAAAAAACCATGATGAAAAAGCAATACCAAAGTAGGCATGTCTATTTAACTAGATCCTTTCTTTTACTTTTCTCTTCTATTTTATAGAAGAAAAAAAAGGGTGCCTACTTCAGCAAATTTAGCCTGAAGTTTTGATGTTAAATGGTCTTCCAAAGTTAGAATCACTGGAAAATCAGATTTCACAAAAGCATATTCCTTTATGGATTCCAGACATTTGGTTAGTGAGACTGGAGTTGTAAGAGTCCTGCATTGATTTCAAGAAGAAAGTCAGAAAACCAAAAAAAGTATAAGAAAGCAATCATCCTAGTCTCTAAGATGAACATTTTTTTTTTCCCTTCTTTTCCTATGCTAACAACTCTCTTCTAAGATGCGATTTTAATAATCAGCTAGTACCTTCCATGAACTACTTTGATACCATCTTTAGATGAAGATGGCCATAAATCTAGTTCAATTACTCGTACACCTTGTTGCAAAGCCTCTATAATTGGCTCATCACTGCACTCACTGGTGAATTGATTCCCAGTCAGGTAGGAATTGTGTCCTGTATACATGAAATAATGTGACAAGGGAGCACTCATATCATGATGTACCTGGAATGACATATGATTTCTATATTGTCAGGAAAAAAAAGTCAAATCTTTATAAAGGCCTGGATCAACTAGATAGACATTTACATGAAAAAAAGAACACATGACACAAATGATAATAATAATAAGGGTTCAGTGGATGTCCTTTAAAAGAACACAAGTTATGTCCTTTTAGTGACTTACACAAATTCTGACCAGTAAGATTTTGTGTAAATCTGAAAAGTTATTTTTTTCACTTTACACGTTAGTGATGTGACTGAGGAGAGAGAGAAAAAAGTAACTTTTACAAGTTTACACAAAATCTTACCCATCAGACTTTGTGTAAATAACCTAAAAGGACACAAGCTTGTATCCTTTAAAATGATAGTTGTTTTTCCCTAATAATAAATAACAATGGAACAAAGAACATGTTGCATTAGTGATTTTTGTTATCTAAGAGTGTTTTTGACAGCCAAAGAATTTTGAATTTTTAGCTCGAGATTTCTGAGCTTGAAACAATAACTGCATATCTCATGACATGACAATTTTGTATATTCATGGAAAATCATTTTTGCAAGACAAGGCAAGGTACATTGCACAAGTGGTTACTAAACTAAGAAGTAGAAACTATAATGAACAGCAATATCACCTATACAGAATTTTTCAGCCTCAAAATTCTCAGTGATCAAACAAACATACCTCGTCCTTCAAGGGACCATTGAAATCATCAAGAAGCAGAAAATTGATGAAGTCATTGAGACTAAGTCCAGCAATACTGATAGTTTTAGTTTTAGAACTTCCAACTTGCAAAACCTTCTCAACAATTGGTTCCAAATCCGTTAAGGTGCAGTTCTTTTCTCCCTGGTGCTCTACCATGAACTGGAGGATCTGATCCTTGGACATGTGGCTCCCACCTTTTGCATACATGGAAAACACTTCCTTAACCTCCAAAGGTGGTTCTGCTTTGTTGACTTCACCCTTTTTGGTCAAGAAATTTATCACCTTGTGCTTGTACATCTCCATTTTCATACTCATCCTTCCCTGTCAATGAACCTATTTATCAATGGATTTGGAAGAGAAAACAAAGGGCCAAAGGGATATATATAGCAGAACAAAAAAAAGTGCTGTTTGAGAGTATTAGAATAAGACAAAAGAGTCAACCTTCGAAACAGAACCTCTGTTTTCCTCTGTTTTCATTGGCTAAAACTTTTGCTTTCCGTGCGTTACTTTGGATTCTGTGTTCATCTGTGATTGAATACTCGAAGACATATGTAAACAAACGATTCGGTAGTCAGAGAAAACACAGCAAAATCAAAATGTTCACACACAAAAATTGTTTTTTTTTTCCTTGGGGTTAGTCATAGAAAAATAAAAATAAAAAACAAAAAAAGGTGGTTATGTTAATTTTTCTAAATGAAAATAAGAGAGTGGGGTAGGTAAGATCTGGTGCTACGATTTAGTTTCATATTAACAAAGTATTATCTGGGGCCGGTTGGAGGGATAGGGAAAAAAATAATAGAAAAAATGAAAGGAGGATTTGATTGTGGGAAAGGTTCAAAGATTTTAAGAGGGGAAAGATTAATTTCTTTGGAATATAGCTTTTTCCTTTTCTTATTGTTTTTAATGAATTATAGCACGTTTGGGCAGATTAACTTTTTGGATTAACAACTGTTTTTTTGTTTTTGATAAACGGGGAAGGATAGTGTAACAATCAACTAGTGTTACTACTCAATGTTAGTATCAATTAATTTCACCGTTAGATAGATTACGTTGATCTAATGGTTATAATTATTTTCATATTTGTATAGTTATGATTCCACATTTTTAATACTTTATATTTATTTTCACCTTTGTATTGTTATGTTATAATGTCTCATATTTAATGTGAAAATAGTTAATGCTTTCACATTAAATATGAGGAATTATAACTATACAAAGATAAAAATAAATATAATCATTGAATCAACATAATTGATCTAACAGTAAAATTGATAATAATACTAATTGGTTGTTATAATATCTTACCCTTGTAAATTACAATATGTTTGCTGTCAATATGCGAAGCTTTTTAGCAAGTGGTGGAGCATCTTGTACCCAAAGAATGTTTCCCATTTGAGAATGCCAATGCCAATGGCTTCAGCTACTCCCACATGAAATTTATATTCTAGCTTGAAAGTTGTAGCTGCAATTATGTTTCCATCCATAACACATAAAAGCCTCAATCCCACGGGGTCAATCCGGGGTAGTTATCCATTAAAAATTACTCTCTTTTTTATCGAGATGTTATATTTTCTAATTTTTTTCTTACTACTAAATTTTAATCATTGATTTTCTTAAATTTAATGGTTATAATTTATTGGATCACATTTATTAATTAATTATTAATTCTCAATAAATTATAATTGTTATATCAATGAAAATCAATGATTAAGATTTGGTAGTAAGAGATAGTAAAAAAATAATAATAAGTATAACATCCCCATATTTTAAATGATAAATTATATAAATAATTTTTCTATTATTAAAATCAGCTAAAAATAATATTTCATTATATATATATATATATATATATATATGGAAAAGGTTATACTTATTACCTTTTTTTCTTATTACTTGTTACTACCAAATCTTAATCGTTGATTTCCGTCAATCTAACGGTTATAATTTATTAGAAATTAATAATTAATTAATAAGTATGAGAAAAAAAAATTACAAATATAACATTTCCGAAATAATAATATTCAAACATTATATTTGAAAAAAAAAATTACTATAAAACTTCCTCAGATAATAAATAAGATAATTTAAATATTCATTAAAAATTTATCAATTTAATAAAAATTTAATACTCATAAATATTTTATTTAAACAATTCGTGCAATACATTAGCTATAATATGTTGTGATTTTTTCACATATGTTAGAGATAATATAAATTTTCCCTCTTTACCAAATATATATATATATATATATATAAATTTTCCCTAAGTTAACTATTTTTTTGATAATTTCATATTTCTTTAATAATCTATTACATAAAAGTGATTCATTTTATACAATTAAAAAAATCTTAAAATTTACTGTGGATTAACACTTAGAATAAAAATTAATTTTTATAAATTTTAAGAAAAACAGTTATTTACTTAATTAATTTTTTTCACATTTAATTTTTCTGTACAAAGAAAATTCGGAGAAGAAAAAAACAAAAACACTAAATATTATAAATAATCAATCTTTTATCTTGTACAAAAAAAAACAATTTTTTATCAACATGGACACGTAACAGGGAAAATGGTTGGAATAGTTAATAGCTATGAAGCACCGACACTTCAAAAATCCTGACGTGTCGTGTCCGATACTACTCGACATTCTTCGACACTCTGGCACTCTCCGACACTCCAATACACGTTATAGAAATTCAAAAAAGGTTCAAAGGTTGCGTTGCGTTGAGTTTTTAGTTCCAACTATTGGATTTGTTGGATTACAATTACCATTTTATTGAGTTTAATATAAATATTTATGATATCTTATGTTTCTTTGCAAATTTTATGAATATTATAAGTTTAATTTCATTTTATTGTTAAATTATTGAATATTAAATATAATATACGCTACATAAGTTAAAAAAATTATTTAATATCAAAACGTGTCCTAACGTGTCGAAATCTAATGTTTTTTAGAATTAACGTGCCAGAGTGTCGTGTCATATCGTGTCACGTGTCCCGTGTCGGTAACGGTGCTACGTAGGTTAATAGCAATGTTGTGAAAATCGGACCGGACCGGCCGGGTTGACCCGGAACCCGGCGAACCGGTCATCTGATTAGTCCGGGTATCATATTGGATCGGTCAAGTATCAGACCTGGTACCACCCGGTGTTTCCCGGCCGATTTTGGTGAAAAATCGGTGACCCGGCCCGGGTTTTAAAAAAAAAATCAAAAAAAATCATAATTGACATATTTGAGTAATCTGTTACTTATTGACTTACATAAGTTATGTACCTATAATACTAATATTATCTCAGTTATGCACTATGCAGGAAATTTTTATTTGATAGTTAGAGATGTTGTTTACCTTAAAACACCAATATAACAAGCATTATGTGTTTGTTTGATCCTTTATTTGAGAATAATGTATAATTTATTATTTTTTATATTAAAATATTTAAAATTTATATTATTATTTTTCATCTATTTGAGTATATTTATAATTTTTTAATATAAATAATATATTTATATATAATCCCCGAGTCATGCAGTTGAACCAGTGATCTATTGGTTGAACCAGTGATCTATTGGTTGAACCAATGACCCAATAATCTGATACCTCGACCGAGTCACTGACCGAGCCGGTTTTAATAACATTGGTTAATAGACTCGAAATCATGTTTGTGTTTTTTTTTTAGATTGTTTGTGCTTTTTATTTTTATTTTTTTGGTAGATTGTTTGTTCTTTTCGAACAAAAAGAGAGCACTTTAGTTGTTAGAAATAATAGTTTCTTTTATGCTTTTGTTGTTGGAAAAGTGTTTCTTCTGCGATACGACATAAATTTATCTTAGAAACCTTAAATGATTTAAGAAAATATATATATGATATTTTAATTTTTTTTTTTCTTATATTAGAATTTTATTAAAATATTCTATATTTTTTATTAAACCCTAAAATGACGTTATTTTATTATAATAGAAAATAATTTTATCTCAAAAAAAAAAAAATAATCCCTTACTGTTACATCCAAAAAAACCCAAAACAAAATAACAATAATGATAAAACTTTGACAGACTAAAATTAAGGGAAATATAATTAGAATGAACTATTAAATTTTTTTCATCAAAATATTTGTTTCTTAGTATATTAATTTTTTAAAAAAATTTATTAACATAATTTAAAAAATATGAAATATTTATTCAATATATCGTTTTATATTACTATATTTTAATATTTTATTAAAATAAACGTAATAATACTTTAATTATGTTAAAGTTTAATTTGATAATAAAATTAAGGCAAGAAAATGAACTTTTTAAACTATGTAAATCAATCCGATCCAAAACATTTTGCACGGAGATAAATCCTTTCATATTAAATAAAATATAACATGATGATGTAAAAAAATTATAATTATGTAAAAATAAATTAACGTGGTAATTTTATAACTATTATTTTAATATTTTTCTCACTCCTCCTTATTACAAGTTTTGCACAAGAACATATCGTGTTTTATTTAACAGGATTTATTAGACACGTGGTGATGAAGGAAAGATGAGTGATGTTTAGGGATTGTTTTCTTCATTGATTTTTGCATCAGAAAATGGCTTCCAGAACCACTGGAACGCTGATTCTGGCGTGTATGTTATGGGTTTTCATGCTTTGCGCAACCATTGCATTCTTTCAGCTCAAATTGGTAGAGAAAGGAACGGACAACGGTTCTTCTCAGAACAAGTTCATCACAACTCAACATCATCTTCCAGTAAGGATTCATGTCTCAACTACACTATTTGTTCATTCTCTCGTTTTGGGTCATCTTCGTTTATCATGGATACTAATCAAGCTCTGACCTTTCCCCTTCCACCAATTTCTTTCCATGTTATGCAGGATACCCCATTGGGCGAAGATTTGGAGGATGTGACCCACAAGGTGTATTTTGATATAGAGATCGATGGAAAATTAGCGGGTATGCTTTCTTTCATTATAAAGTTGAAATTTTTATTTGGTTCCATCCAAAAATTGTGGCTTGACTAATTATTAGTATTTTCATGCGTCTGTTGGATTTTGGCAATTATTTTTTGGATTGTGATTGCAAATTAAGTGTAAGAAGGGATTTCAGATGCATTAAATTGACATTAACTCACTGATTTTAGAAGGTGATTTGTGCCATGAGATAGGAACCATGATATTCTTAGGTATGATGGAAGGAAAACAACGGTTATTTGATTTTTAAAAAGGCTCCCAAACTTGCTAGGAAAAAGGCTCAATCTTATGCCGTTTTATCCTTGCATTTTTATAACGGAAAACTTAAAAAAAAAAAAAAAAAAAAACCTGTCAGTTTTTTCAGAATCACTTGTCCCCTCCATGAATTTTTGAATCATTTATACCCCTAACTTAAAATTTCTTTATCACTTACCCCCGTAAGTTAAAGGGTAAGTGATAAAAAAATTTAAGTTAGGGAGGTAAGTGATAAAGAAACTCTAAGTAAGATTGTAAATAGTTTAAAATTTTGAGAAGGGGGTAAGTGATTCTATAGGAAACTTACAGGTTTTTTTTTTTTAAGTTTTCCCTTTTTACAAAGAGATTATTTTTCATACTCGAACCCTTGACTTTCTAATCATAAATAGCAACTCCACTACACAAAGACTCACATAGAATTTAACATGATTGTGTGGCATTGCACATTGTGGTGGATGGGGTAGTGCCTATTTCACAGTAGTCTAATGACTAATGCAAACTTTTGCAACCTAAGTCTGGTCCAGCTGCCAGCTTCCTAGATGAATGATTTATCTAACACATGCTCGTAACATTTGTTCCTTTAAGATTCTGTAGGCTGTATAAATGACTTGCTTATGAGAAGTTACTTATGGAAACAGTTATTTTTACTGCCTTCTTGAATAAGCATAGCAGGTTTTTAATCCCCATTTTTTCTGCCTTAATTGTTATGTGCTTGATTCATATGAGTAAATAAAATAATGCATATTATATCATTACGTTATGATACCCTAGCGGGTCACTCAGAACTCTAAAAATTTTGTTTCTTGCTTCAGGTCGCATAGTCATGGGCCTTTTTGGGATTACGGTACCGAAAACTGTAGGTATGGTATGCTATAGTGTAATGAATTATATGCTAAAGATGTTTATTTAGACAGGTATTGGCTTCATTTGAAGGATTTGGTTACTAATCTTGTCATCCCTATTGTGCAGAAAACTTTCGAGCACTTTGTACGGGTAGGATCAATTTTGATATCTATAACTATAAGCTATAGAGAGTAAATACTATAAATTAAGCAGCATCACATTTCAGGAGAGAAAGGGATGGGAAGAAGTGGGAAGCCTCTTCATTATAAAGGGAGCGCATTCCATAGGATTATACCGAGCTTTATGGTCCAGGGGGGTGATTTCACCCGTGGTGATGGAAGAGGTGGAGAATCAATCTATGGTGATAAGTTTGCTGATGAAAACTTCAAGCTGAAGCATACTGGGCCAGGTCAGCTTAAGTGCTTTTGTTACTGATATTCCATGTATATCTATAAACATGAAATGTTCATATATTCATATTATTTCACATGTTCACCCTTACTGCATGATTGTCAGGATACTTATCGATGGCAAATTCTGGGCAAGACACCAATGGCTCCCAGTTTTTCATAACAACAGTCAAAACCAGCTGGTAATTTTCAATTAATTGAGTTACTTATTCTGTATACTCTTGGAACTCGAGTAGTCTGATATATTAACTTTTCGTGAAAACCCTGCAGTGATAGTTAGAAATGTGACATTTCCTTAATGGTTGTTTGTTTGTTTTCTTGGAAAATGTAATGTGATACTAATTTTGGTGTAAAAGAAAACTTTTTGAGAGGAGAAGTTTACTTGGATAAATTCCATTTTGTTCACATGCTGAATCTCAGTTGGAAAGGTGCATTTCCCTTTCAATTATTAAGAATGGATTTTATTTTAAATGTATATGAGTAAAAGGCTTAACTTCAGACTTTCAGCTTCCTAATATAGAAATGTTTTCAAAGAATATATGTCTAAGAAGAGGAGGAATCTAAGAAAAAAAGCTTAATTTCTCAAGTTTTCATTATTACTGTTGAGGCCTTTTCTCAAGTTCACTGTTTCACATGCCTCCGTTTGTTTCTTGTAAGGCTGGATGGACGACATGTTGTATTTGGAAAGGTACTTTCCGGGATGGACGTTTTGTACAAGATTGAATCAGAAGGAAGTGAAAGCGGCTCGCCCAAAGTCAAGGTTGTCATATTAGACAGTGGGGAATTAACTTCATGACATTGTTTATATAATAAGTTGAGACTGATTCTACTACAGTAACTACTCAGCTTTTCCCTCTACCATGATTCACAAATTCTTTGTGTATACTTTTATCATATAGTAAATAAACAAAATTTGCAGACTAAAAGTTTGTATTCATGTAATTTTTCTATTTTGCTTGTCTAGACATCATGATGAAGAATGCTATCCTCTGAACTTTAAGATGATTTTTTTAATTTTTTTTTTCTTAACGGGCACAAGAATAATTAATTATTTAACTTTTCAAGTGCATCATATCATATCATCTCCTCTGCTACAGCTTCCACTGCTGCAATTTAAATCCCTATTACAAATGGAGCATAATGAAATAAAATAAAATGTTCTTCTCTTTCTCCCTGTCCTGTGTAAAAGCCAAAGGCCATAAATATCCAGATTTCACAAGTATGATATTGCATTCCAGGGCGCCAAACTCCTTTTTTATTAGTCAGCTAGTCACTCTGAATATCATGTTTCAAAGAAAGGGTATGTAACCTCTCAGATCTTAAAGATTCTTTAGAAAGAGCAAAAGCCACATAGATTAGCCAGCTTACTAATGCCTGTCAAGCATGTGGCCTTAACAATATGTTTAACAAAATTTCAAATTTTTGGTCTCATCATCCTTTTAAACAAGATAGTACAAGCATAAAGAATTGAAAAATGCAAGGGAACACAAGCATAATAAAATACTCAAATGAAACATTTGATACGAGAGATATTTTTTTTTATCAGGAAAAAGAAATTCTAGAAATATGATAGGAAAATATTTTGCCCGAAAAAATAATGAAAAGGTGTTTGGTAACTCAAAATATTATAGGAAAAGTAAGATTAATTTGACTGATGTTATGTTTGGTTGATTATAAAATATTGATGGAAATATTAATCGAATTTATCAAATTACCCAACATTTTTGAATATCTGCAAAATACTTTTACACATCTCCTCATATATTACAAGAGGACATTTTGGTCCCAAAACGTATATACCAGATCCGAATTCAAGGAAAAAAAAAAAATACCATGGTTAAGAAGGGATTATTTTTTTCCATTCTGTAGTTACAAACTCAAACTCAAATGCTGGAAAAATTATTTGGCTGAGAATTTCTTACGTTTCCTGCTGATACACAAAAAATAAACTCAACCCTACTTTCCCATCATTCCAATCAAAATACTCATTCCAAAGACCCCTTAACTTTGCTACCCCAATTTTTTTTTTTTTTTTGAAAAGATAGCAATTCACACATACATTTGCAATCACTAGTTTATTGAATTACATAAACTAGAACGAGAAAACTTATTGTAAAAGGGCAAGATGCCATCAATAGAAGATCATAACCACCTCAATATGTATAGAAGTGAAATAGGACGATACAATGATTCGCCTTCATAGTCCTTATTGACATGATGACAAAACAATGTCCAAAATTACCATCACAATTTTTCAACTCCAACAAAGATCAGATACATAATATAATATTTATTAGAAATAGCCACTTATTACTACTATACTGTAAGGGAGAGGGAAAGAGAGACAAAGTAGAGTAATGGTACAAGAACAAGAACAAGAACAAGAACAAGAAAAAAGACCCTTTTATTTGTCACGGCTGTTATTAGCAGAGTTGTTGGAACGCTGATGGCACACGTTTGTGAAATTGGAATTGAGATCAGAGTAGAGAGAGACAACCTTGGATATGTTCCCGTTGAGTTCCTGAATCAAAGACACGTTTTTTACCATGTTGTCGGCTATCCTTGACTGTTGGTTCTCGTTCACCTGTTGAATCAGCTCGCGGTTCCGATCAAGCACCGACTGCACCTGCCGGAAGCTCTTGTTCAGGTTCGCCCAAACCTCGGGGTCCCCGTCCTCCGCCTCCTCCACCTCCCCGTCTGACTCCCCGGTGGTGGTGTTGACGGTGGTCGACGGGTGGCGGCGGCGGCGGTTCTTCTTGGGGCGGTGGCGGTTTGAGGGGTCTTCCATGGTGGATTCAGCTGCTGAGGAGGATGAATGAATAGTGGTCATATTCATGAAACAAGAGGCTCAAGTGTTGTTGGGTTAGACATTTGCATACTTTTTGTGTTTGGTGATTTCACTTATTTGTGTAGAGGATCAGAGCCAAATATCTTTTTTATATATACACAATTTTTTTATTTTTATAAACTCTTACGAATTATATATTTTTTAAATACACTAAGTTATATTATATATTTTCAGAATATATATTATAATTTGTAAAAAAAAATTATAAATAAATTATTCTCCTGTAAAAAAAAATAGAATATTTTTATTACTAATTTTTTTTACTATTATTCTATTTTCATTTTGATCACCGTTGAATTAGAGAAAAAGTTAAACGAGAAGATAGAAAAAATTGATAGTAAGAATATCATACCTCGTATATGTATAGGAAAAATGTTTTTGTTTTTATTGCAGAATTTTTTTTTATCACACTCATATAAAAGTGAACAGATTCTATTTAAAGAGAAGAGAAAAGAAAATTAGTAGAATCCTTTCACTTTTATGTGAGTGAGGTATATAAATTTTTTATAAACTCTTACGAACTATACTATCTTCTCTCGGGAGAACATAGTACAATGTGTATAAATTTATAAAAAAAAAATTGTAAAGAATATTGTTTCATGATAAATTATCTAATACAACATATAAAAAAAAAGTGAGCAGGACCACCAAAGATAAAAGAATACATTAAAATGGTTAACCTTATGTTCTCTATTATCTTCAAAATTATTTGAGTATATCTTTGGCCTATTTTTTGAAATTACGAGTATGTTACCTATTCATTTTATAATATTAGAGTGAGTAACTTATTCTTACTTTTATTTTTATTGTTTTGAATATATGTTTTTGACATTTTTGCCGAATTGGGATATGGAAGAATCTGGGCTCCGTTTAGCACTTGGATATGAGAGATGGAATCACAGATAATGTTCAATAAAATGGACATTACATTGTTCCAAAAAATGAGCTTACGCGACCAACCATAGGCGCGTGCGTGCAATGCTTTACAAAAGGTGGAAACCCAACAAAGGAAAGATAGATCTAGATAGAAAAGTCAATGAAGTTCGGTAGAATGCTATTTAAGCTTCCTTTAAATCAAATTATATTTTACTGTTTATCAAATTTTAATTAAACCAAATATTATATCTTGTACACAATTTATTGTCATAGGTTGTACTTAATGCAATCTCATCAGTCCGAAATGATTCTCGGTTGATTATGATCGATGAAGTTACTTTATTGATAATTTGATGCAGTTGTTCCATGGATTTTCTAGGAAATGGATGAGAGAATGTACTTATAAATTATAATATAACGTGACACTCAAGTCAGAATTTATTTATACAAATTTAAGTATTAAAAAGAAAATATCACCTTGTGTTTGAAACATTATTGGCCATTGACGTAAGTGGCTTGAAATAAGGTTACACAGAAACCGAAAAATATTAGTGATCCTGATATATCATTTTAGAAAACAATTAAACATAAATCTTGATATCTAACACTAACAGTGGAAACAAACATAATAGTTGTTCAATAATAATTAAAGAATAATTATATTTTTACAAATTTTATTCTTATAAATGAGATAGATTTATTTGAACAATTCAAAAAATAAAATCATATTAAGTCCAAAGTGTTATTCGGTAACTTACATGACAGTTTATAAAACATTTATGAAAGTAAAACTTTACAAATACTTTTTTCAACAAAAAAAATATTAACAGTTAGAAAGTTTATTTTAAAAATTTGAATAACTAAACTTTAATCTAAACGTATACCATTCATATACGATTTCCTCTTTTTATTATCATGCTAGATTACTTCTCTCGATATTTTGAACTAATGCATAATTTATTAACCTAAATAATTCAATTTATCTTTTTATTTATTTATTGCATATATGGTCTATGCTCTTAACAATTTAAGAGATAAATTCATCCCTTGATTAGAATAATAAAAGAAAGGGAAATTAAGGGAGGAAGACTCTCAATATTATTAGTCAATATTTGTAGTAACAGAAAAAGAGTCAACTGAAGGTGGAAAAGTGCGAGTGGGGATAGCATTGAGAAGAAAATATCTAGAGGGTTGGATGCAAAAAGCGAAAAGTGCATTGCCACGACGACAAAAAAAAAATCGTCGTTTTGCCTCCGTGGATGTGTCTGCCGTCAAAAAAATATCCCATCTCACGTCACATGTCACACAGCTCACAACTCTAGTTCTACCAAAATATCTTCCACTTTATTCTATAAAAATAAATAAAAAAATAAAAAATTTATAAGAGTTATACTGTACAAAAATGATTGTGTAATATTATAGAGATTCGTTTTTCATGTCTTAATTTTTTATTTTATTTTTGCTTCAAAAAATGCGTACCCCACAAAATATTGTGTGTGTAGAAAATTTTTGTGTGTCATGTTACATGATGAATGCAAATCTCATAAATAAAATCAAATTAAATTATGATCGAAGAAGAATATATACCTTGAAGTAAAAAAGGCATAAAGGAACAAATTTGGTCCCTACCCAGAAGAGAACATCACTAGTTCCGGTGGTGATAGATTATATATATTATCAATGACAAATATTATTGTTGATTGACTCAGGTTAACCTCACTATTACATTCAGTTTGGACCAAAATATCTAGGCTGGATTACGACTAAAAAATGTCTATCTTATAAAAGAATGGTTAAAATAATACTTGTTGAACTAGGACACAGAATGCACAATTTGAAAATTGTAATGTTCACATTTTTGTAAATGAGCAACCAAAAAATGAGTAATTAATGTTTCCTCTTCCCTCTCTTCTCTCTCTCTCTCTTTCCTTACATTTTGCATCATTTAAATAGGGGTTTAATATGTGTGACACAAGTTGTATTCTTTTAGTGACTTACACAAAGTATGACCGGTCATACTTTGTGTAAATATGAAAAGTTACTTTTTTTCTCTTTCAGTGACATTTAAAGTAAAAAATAAAAGTAACTTTTCATATTTACACAAAATATAATCGGTCATACTTTATATAAATCACCTAAAAAGACACAAGCTTGTGTACTTTGAAATAATACTTATTTTTTCCTTTAAATATTATACTTTACATATGGCTTTTGTGGCACAACTTATAACTAGAGGTGGCAAAGCGAGTTGCTCGCCCCGCTCCGCCCTAGCCCACCAAAAGCCTGTAAAAGCGGCTTGGCCCGCCCTATCCCAACCCGCCAAAAGCTCGTCAAAAAGCGAGTTGGCCCGCCCTGCCCTGCCTTCGAAGATGGGATAGATATCTCAACCTGCCCCGCTCCGTTTGGGCGAGCGGGACGGGCTGCCCGCCAAGCCCATGACATTTTACACTAAAAATTTAAAAAAAAAATAAAAAATCAGCCCGGGCAAGCTTGGCGGGCAGCGGGTTTGAGAAATTCAGCCCGCCCTGTCCCGTTTGACGGGCGGCGAACTCGGCCCATTTTGCCAGCTCTACTCGTGACCACAAGACCTGGGTCAATAAAATTTACTTCTAAGCTCCATTTATAGATGATTCAAATTTATTTTCCACATTTTTTTTAGTGGCCAAATTTCTTGTATTCATAACCTGCCAACAATTTAAAATTACAACACATTGCTTTTAATTTTACAAGGTTGACATAAGCAATTTAACATTTTTTGTCCATTCTTCAACATATCTTGCAATTTGCAGGCCCAAACATTGCCCTAAACAAATGCAAGGTTAGAAAGCAACTATTCAGTTGATTTTCTCTTTCTTCCCTGAATAGAAGCGATCTGAAATCTGGGTCCCCCCATTCGCCAACAACACAAAACATCATGAGCCACGTAGCATCTTAAGGCTAACCACTGTAGCAAAACATTTCCCTTATTTACAAAAATCAAATATCCCTAAACTAGTATCCCTTATTGAATCTGACATATATCAATTGGAAGCAAATTATTAATCAAATTAAAGAACTCGAATCCTACCTCTTCCTCCGTGATAATATCATCAATATCATAGTACTTTGCCATCCAATCCTCCAGCTTGCTGTTGTTACACTTTCTTTTAACTCATCGAAAGAGCAAACCGCAAATAAAGATACCTTGAGCTTGAATCGTGCCATTACATTTTATAAATTAGAAAGAAAAAACCATCTTCTTGAATGATAAAAAATACCACTAAAGAAAGCTTGAATCTGTTCTACAACTGAGAGAACTTCATTCGCTAGCTCTAATCAAAATCACTCTTTATTAAACCTCAACTAGCAAAGTGGGATGAGTACAATACTTATAAACAGTCTTATCCTTACATATTTGCAAAGAGTCAGTTTCCAGACAGATTCAAATCTGTGACCTATTAAAAAGGAACAGTTCTATCACTGCATCAGCCTTTCCCTTTACCCTTTATATTTGCTAGCTCTAATATTAAATAAAAATAAATTTTTACCAATATGTAACCTTCCACAACAGCATCTATTATTGCAGTTCCATAACACTGAAATGCAAAATCACAGAATTTGTTGCTACCAGTAGAACTCCAATATGGAGCCCATAGACACGAAGCAGCAAACAATTTGAGTTGATCGAAATCTTCTCTTCAATTTGATTTGACTCGAAACAAAAATATCCAAACCCAATGAAGTATGCAATTCAGCACAAGTATTATCATCATTTCAACGTGAAATCATGACTTGAAAAATGTACTCCTGTGGAATAAATAATGTATTATCCAAGAAGATAGTGGCACACTAGAAGCCAACGAAAACACAATTGGAACATACTGCTATCTAGATTATAGAAAATAGGTGGGGAAAGAGAAATCCTATAATTGCAAACCTAGAGACAACAAGAAAGCTAGAGACAAGTATATAGAAGGATGCAGGATGCTTATTGGCAGATGCAAACCCTTTTACTTTACCAGAAACCTTCCGCTCAGGTACATGGGATTGTGGTCTTTTTATCAGTCTCGCTTCTTCTCCCTTTCACCAATGTGACATGATTATTCAATACTGGACAAATGTAAGTTGACAACAATTTTCTGGCATACAATTCCTATATAAATATATGGGCTACTCTTAAACCGGTATAAGA